AATATCATTATCGCAGCCAGGGGTCCCGAGGTGGCGGTAGAAGTTGGGGTGTAGATGGATGCGCTCCACTTGGACTATGGCCTAATAGATTTTTTCATATTTTTGGCAGTTTCTTTAGAGATATTTAAACTTCCTAATTGGAAATTATTTAAGGCGAAAACGGTTGATGCACTTTATTTTTGTTTGATTTCTAACCACGTCATCGTCCGGAGATCCACGCGCTGTCATGTGATCAGCACCGGCAAAACCCAGAATTGCGATGGCGCATAACTAAATTTGATCCGTATATTTTGAATTACCTTACAATGGTTTTGAAAGCAAGCAATTCATAGGAATCCAAAATCATCGAATCAAAAATTACAAAACTAACGCTCGCCGGGTAAAATTTTCGCCAGCGACGCAATGGCCGGCCGTCAGGATCCATTTTCCATCATGATTGAGCCCATGCAGACGTGTATCCAGTCTCTTAATATCAGGCTCATCAACATTTTTTTACTTCTAAGCCTGATTTAATGCTGACGCGCTCCTAATTAATCTCCGTAACTTTATAAATACCGTCCAGAAGCGTACCCGTCAACTTTCCGTCGTATAGCCACTGAAAATGCATAAATACTCACGCTGGCTCCTTGCCGCCGACGATGGAATTTAATTGGAGATTTTCATGAAATATGAATTTTGCTTACCTCCACCAAAATTCCATATTTTAGCGCTAAAAATATAGAAACTAGAGCCAGGGCGGCATTTGAAATAATGATGGCGGTGCTTTTTAGATTTGATAAAGGTTTTTGGACATGAATATTTCATAGAATTCTCTCGTTAGACGGTATTTAATAAAAACAATAACGATAAAATGTAAAGATAGACGCTCGGAGCTAAAGAGCTGAAAGAGCTGTTTGGAATTGCGAGTTTGTGCCGGGTAACGTAAAATTGCCGGGTAGGCATCCAAGTCAAAAAGTTTTGGCAATGAACCTAAACTTGCTTCGTTGTGGTAGAACTTATTGTGTCGGCATTCTTTTCGTCTTGATGATTGTTCGTTTTTTGATGTTGTTCTGTTCAGAATTAATAAACGTTTCCGCGTATGAAAATTGCATAGCAGCAGCATTCTTTCTTAATTCTTTTGAACAAAAATTGCCGACTTGAGCAATCAGCAACAAATTTATTTCAACTTCACATCCTTCCGATTGTAACGCACACCCGCATGCCAATCGTTTGCTGGAGCCAGGCGCAGTGGATGGCCGTCTCCACGCCATAGGCTAGGTTTAGGATGTTTACTATAGGAAAGTAGTGAGATCTCACCAATCGGGTAGATTGAATAATCGCAGGTAAATATTGCTCCAGTATGAACAGCAAGTTGCAACCAGGCACCGTGGTATTTAGTGGCCACTGGCGCGCCGGAATCGCCCTGGAACGAGGCATACGAGTAGTTGTCGTAAGTCTTGGGTCGGAGGCAAAGCCTACGCCTGAGCGTACGCCTCAGTTTAAGCCTAAGCCTGCCGGTGCCTGCGCATATTTGTCGCATTGTTCAATTTTTCATGCCCACATCACATGGACCGACATGTCTCGGCCCTCGATAGCAAATGACCGGGCTCGTCACAGAATAAACCCCGATTACAGTCTTGAAATGGGCGCCATTTTGCAGGGTACATGCGCAGATCGACGCTCGGCGGTCCTGGAAAATCAATAATCAGTCAGCTTTTTAAACCGAAAGTCTAAAGATGAAACCTACGTCTTTTCCCAAGCCGTCCCCACCCAGTGATCTCTAGAGTCGAATTCCTGTCACGCCAAGCTGGGAAGCGATCCGGGATGTGGATCGGCATCCGGCGCATCGAGTAACCTACCGGTCTGCTGAGCTAAAAGGGTGACATTGGCTCGATATTGATAAGAATAAAGGCGTTTATGGCAATGACGGAATTACCGCCATAACGCCCAATTTTATAATATATAATCTTAACACTCGGCATTATGAAAACTCGAGATTATCAAAATTCGAGATTATGAAAATATAATACCTTAAGCAACGCAATATCATTATCGCAGTCCCGGCGACCCGAGGTGGCGGTGGAAGCCGGGGTGCAGATGGATGTGCTCCACTTGGACGATAACCTCAATAATTGTTGTTGCTAACGTAAGAAATTCATCTAGGCATCGAAACTCGTTAACCCGGAATTCGAGTTTCCCAAGAACGTAGTTTTTCCTAAAATTTTAGGTAGGAGTTCACTTTTGTATCCCCCGCCAATCCAAGGGTCTCAAATCCTCGAAAATTTCGTTTTTTAGGATGTTTTCAAAGCCGTTCGATAAAGGGTCCTAAAATATATTAGCATTTTTAATTTCAGCCCAAAATGATGTAAAATAAAAAGTTATAGCAAAGATCGTCCGGTTCAGGGGCGGGGGGTAGAGTAAACCGCAGCCAAATTTGAATCTAATATGCCATTTAGTTTCGCCTATAATAATGGATATTTGCCAATTTTTTTTTTCGTTTTGTCTATAATCTATTTGATGCCAGGAGTATGTTATTTGAGTATTTTTTGTTCCGTACCACATCATCATCCGGAGATCCACGCGCCGTCATATGATCGCCGCCGGCAAAAACCCAAAATTGCGATGGCGCGTCACTAAAGGTCACCCGGATACAGCGGAATTTAATGGCCGCAATTTTATAGCACTTGAAAAGTTTCTCGAAACGAAAATTACAAAACTAACGCTCGACGATGAAAATTTTCACTAGCAACGCAATGACCGGCCGTCAGGATCCATTCTTCCATCATGATTGAGCCCATGCAGACGTGTTCCCAGTCTCTTAAGACCGGGTTTGTAAATACGTACTTACGTATTTTTATATTTTTAGACATTTAGCCTAAGCCTATGCGCAGCTATATTACATCTCGTAATTTATAAATGCGATTCAAAGCGTACCTCCCAACCTTGCGTCGTATAGCCACGGAAAATGCATATCTCTCAACGCTGACCCCTCGGCCGCCCACGATGGAATTTAATAGGAGATTTTCATAAAACACAGATTTTGCAAACCTCCACTAAAATTCCATATTTTAGCGCTGAAAATATATAAACTAAGAGCCAGGGCGGCATTTGAACAATGAGGGCAAGTATTTTCAGATTTAATAAAGATTTTTACCCATGAATTTTTCATGAAATTCGGTCTGCTAGACGGCATCATAATAAAAACTATAAAAAGTCAAGAAGACCCTTACACCCTAGATAGATAACAGAGCTGTTTCGATTCGAGACATCTCGTTTCTGCGTATGAAAATTTAATAAAATCAGTTTTGTAACATGGTTTTCACCGAAAAAATCATAATAATTGAATGGAATGCCTGAATAAATAAATTAGCCAAAGGGCTTGTTTCGACTCGAGTGGGTGTCCCAAGCAACGTACAGTTTTACCCTAATTTCATACATCACATTTGGTATCTTTATTTAGCAGATGTCTTCTAAAAATAGACTGAATAAACACATGCACTGCGCTCCAACAAATTTATTCTTTCACTTCTTTCCTAGTGAGATGCACATCGGTTCGCCAATCGTATCTTCGATAAAGCCGCAGTTCTGGCTGGCGTCCATACCAATGGCTATATTAGGGAAAATCGTCATATTAACGAATCATAACAAGGTGTTACCATGCGACCAGAGCGAATAATCACAATTGGGCCTTCCGATAATATGCACACCCACTTGCACCCACTGCGCGTTCCATCGAGTGGCGACGGCCGCGCCGGAATCGCCCTGCAAGGGTGGCTTAGCCTTAGGATTAGGTCTAGGCTTTGGCTGAGACATAGGCTTAGGCTTAGGCTTAGGCCTAGGCTTAGGCTTAGGTTTAGGCTTAGGCTTAGGCTTAGGCTTAGGCTTAGGCTTAGGCTTAGGCTTAGGCTTAGGCTGAGGCTTAGGCTTAGGCTTAGGTTTAGGCTTAGGCTTAGGCTTAGGCTTAGGCTTAGGCTTAGGCTTAGGCTTAGGCTTAGGCTTAGGCTTTTGTCCGAAGTTGTTTATTGTTTTTCTAGGCGATCGACTCTATTTTAGTATTTGAATACACGGTAGCACCGTAAATTGCACACAAGCTGCCGCACGAGATTTTTGTATAGAAGGAAACAAAAATACGTAAATTACACTCAGAAGCGTGCTGCCTGGATTTTAAATACTTTGCGACACACCAGACATGGGCCAACGTTTGTCGGCCCCTCATAGCAAATGCCCGTGACATTCTTTGCCAAGTTAAAGAAACAAGCGCGAAATGGTAGGTCCTTGGCCTGGTACATGCGCAGATCCTCGCTGACAAGCTCTGAAAAAATAATGTCTTTATCGGATTTTATAACGGGATCATTGACTTCTTTTTATTGCAAAAAACGTCAGACACATGGCCGAAGCTGACCATATTTGGGCAACTCAGGCAAAATTGCCATGCTAATTACGAAAAAATGCACATATTAGAGAAAGTCGTACACCCACTATCATGGGCTAGTTTTCCCCAGCCGGCAATATCGAGGGTTAGACCGGGGTGGCCCCAGCCGGGGAAGTGGTCGGGGATGCGAATCTTTTGCCGGCGCATCGTGAATTCAAGCGACCTGCTGAGCTTAAAAAGGTACGTATAAAACTCGCTATCGGCATGCGCGCAATTCGATAGAGCATCAAAAAGACTCCTTAGGGAATATACCTTCAGCAATGCGATATCGTTAACGCTGCCCTGGCCCTTTGGTTCGCGGTAGAAGCCGGGATGCAGGTGAATGCTGGCCACTTGGATTATTGCCTAAAGGAATACTCGAATTTCGGTTGAGGTTTTTGCTAAATGAATAGCCCTTAACTGTTGAATTTGGGCCGCCAACCCCCGCTGTAGCTCTGGTAAATATAACGATGAAGTTCAACATTCTTGTGGCCAAGCTGAAAGGGATAAGGACGGCATCATTTGCTTCACCCCCTTGGGAGGTGGACTTAAATTTTTTGACAAATAGCCAACAGGGCAAAGAACGGGCTCAAGGGCGAGACGCAGAGCCATTTTCTTTCCCTCGCGTCACCGATTACCGTTGCCGTCGTTATCCCTTAGATGCCTTTTTTCTGATCATGCTATTTATTTCTACAATTTGGTACTTTGGCTGTTGATCAGACGGAGAATATTTTTTGGAGACACTCGGTATTGTAGAAACCGTGTTTTACCACATCGTCATCCGGCGATCCATAAGGTGTCATGAGATCGGCGCCGGCGAAAATCCAGAACCTTCTTGCGGGCAGACTGAAATCCCATCAACCATCCTTCGAAAATCACTCGGCCGGAAAAGGATTTGGTCGCAGAATTTGCATTTGGAGTAAACATAGGAAAATCACCAGCTTTACAGCAAATGAATACGCTTCTCCCTTCGGATAGTTTGAAGAAAATTTACGAGCGAGTGTTTTTCGGATAAGGCGTTTCCCAGCCAGATGGTTTCGAACAGATCAATCACAAAATTTCGGCAACCGCAAACTAACGCTTTTCGGGTCCTATTTGGATTCGACACGCAATGTGCGGCCGTCAGGATCCAGTCTTCGTTCATTATCGAGCCCATACACACATGTTTCCAGTAGCTGAAAGAGCCAAGATTACGGCTTAGGCTTAGGCATAGATTAGGGGGTTCGCTTATACTTCCGAAAATCCGATTCCCGAAAATTGGTTTCCCGAAACTCGGAGCCCCGAAAATCGGAGTCCCGAAAAATCTGAGTCCCGAAAAATCTGACTCCCGAAAACTGAGTCCCGAAAATCTGAGTCCCGAAAAATCTGACTCCCGAAAATCTGAATCTCGAAAATTTGGCTACTGGTTTTAGGCTTCCGGCCCCAAAAAAAACCCAAATCACTGCGGGTATTTTCGGGACTTAGATTTTCGGGAGTCGGAGTTTTCGGGACTCTGATTTTCGGGAGTCAGATTTTTTGGGACTCAGATTTTCGGGACTCAGATTTTTCGGGACTCCGATTTTCGGGATTCCGACTTTCGGGAAACCAATTTTCGGGGATCCCATTTTCGGGAGTGTCATCGGAATTCATAAATTAGGGTTAGGCTTAAGCGTAGGCTTGGGCTTAGGCTTAGGCTTAGGCTATGCTTCGGTTTAAGCTTAAGCTAAGGTTTAGGCTTAGGCTGTTAGTTATAGACTTCTTCTCTTTTCTTCAAAGTATTTTTAATTTTATTTACGCCACGTCTAATCGGATTCCCTTCCAAAAAAAACCTACTGCCCGGTACTGCGTCGTATAGCTACGGCAAATGCATATCTCTCAACGCTGACGCCTTTGCCACCGACGATGGAATTTAATTGGAAACGTTACAAGATAGAAAATGCATACCTCGACTACAACAACATATTGGGGCGCTAAAAATGTAAAAAATAGGAGCCAGGGCGGCATTTGAAATAATGATGGCAAGGTTTTATGGATTTAATAACGCTTTTTTGGCATGAATATTTCATAGAATTGTGTCTGCTAGACGGAATTTAATAAAAACTGGGGAAAATATAAAGATAGACACGAAGAGCTGAAAGAGCTGTTCGGAATCGAGAATTTGTACCGAGTAACGTAAAGTTATGCCAAGGTAGCACTTCTCAATATGCTTTCAGATTCAAATTTTAGACATTTTTCATCCGTGCTATTTTCAACTATGCACATCTTATTAGCTAATGTATTGTATACAACTTGCGATTTGCCCTAATAAAATTTATTATTTCACAGTTCACAGCGGGATGCACACCGGCTTGCCGATCGTCTGCTCGTAGAAGCCGCAGTTTTCGGTGGCGTTCACCCCAAAGGGTAGGTTAAAAAATTATATGGTAAGCCTCAAAAGGTGTTACCATGGGTGCGGGATGAATAATCACAGAGAGTCTCCCCTCTAGTGTGCACGCCCAGCTGCAGCCATCGACCGTGGTATTGTGTAGCCACTGCCGAGCCGGAATCTCCCTGAAGTGGTAGTTTAGGCTTATGCTTAGAATTACACTTGGCTGCGGCTTAAGCTTAGGCTGAGGCTTGGGCTTAGGTTTAGGCTTAGGCTTAGGCCTAGACTTCGACTTAGGCTTAGGCTTAGGCTTAGGCTTAGGCTTAGGCTTAGGCTTAGGCTTTGGCTTAGGCTTAGGCTTAGGCTTAGGCTTAGGCTTAGGCTTAGTCTGCTAAATTTTGAAGACTCACCCGACATGGGCCGACGTCTTGCGGACCCGAATAGCCAATGGTCCAAGTATCTTCAGGGTTGTAGGTTCGAATTTTGCGCAATCTGGCCTTGTACATGCGCAGATCGACGCTCGGCGGCTCTGGAAAGTAATAGATAATCCAGAAATTGCAATAAATAGAGGTTTAAAGGGATGCCGACGGCATAATCAATCGGTTGCGCGCTGGAAAGAAAATGTCTCTGCGCCTCTCCCCAGCGCGCGCTCTCTGCCCTGTTGGCTACTTGCCAATTTGTTGATGGGGGGATCGACACCTGCCGTCCGCAGCCATTTAATTATCGTTGCTAGACAAAAACTCACGATCTATTGCCAGTTTTCCCCAGCCGGTAATCTCGAGCGTCAAATTCTTGTTTCGCCAGGCAGGGAAATTGGCCGGGATTTGAATCGGAAGCCTGCGCGTCGAGTAGCTGAGTTTAGTGCTGAGCTTCAAAGTATGGTATAGTTCTAAAGTACCTTTAAATAATTTCTAATGGCTAATTCATGCTTTTCATGAATATACCTTTAATAACGCGATATCGTTATCCAATGTTTTGGTTGCAACGTCGCGATAGAAATCCGGGTGTAGATGGATGCTCGCCAATCGGATTATTGCCTAAAAACTCCCAATTGCAAGGCAAGTCGAAAGCATCTGAATTTTTAAACGTCTATGCTTACAAAAACGGATTTTTGGAAAATTGCTTGAAATAAAAAGTGAAGCTTCATTACCGCTAAAACCGCCGTTTAAAAACTAAAATCTCTTGCCACATCGTCATCCGGTGATCCATCAGATGTCATGTGATCAGCGCCGGCAAAAATCCAGAAAGTCTTTGGGGAGAGCCTGAAATTCGATTACGATACTGTAAGTCTTATTAGAGAGGATTTTTCGAGTTTTTAGTAATCTTAAAAAAGAATGAATAAAAAGGAATTTTCAGTAGTTTCGAGTAATCCTGTTTACCATGTACCAAAATTCGGTGTGCCCTAGGTCCAAGCCGAAGACTAGGCCGGTGTTTTACAGCCTGTGATTGTAGGAACAGAAATTCAAAGACAGAAAGCGAGAAAAAAGAGATTCGAAATTCGTCGGATTCAAAACTAACGCTTCACGAGGAGCATATTTATTAGACACGCAATGGCCGGCCGTCAAGATCCATTCTTTGTTCATTATCGAGCCCATGCATGCATGTTTCCAGTTGCTAAAAGGTGACAACGAAAACTTGGAAAAAAGTTGCTCTATTCCCCACTTTTGGCTTACGCCAAAAAAGTGTGAATGGTGAGCAACTTTTTAAACCTTTTAATCAGCCCCTTATAATCCATAAATACTTACCTGCCATTCTTGCGCCGTAGCGCCACGGAAAAGGCGTATCTCTCGACGCTGGCCCCCTGGCCGCCCACGATAGAATTTAATCGGAAATTTTTGCAAGGCCCCAGTTTTCAAACCTCCACTAGAACGCTATATACCAGCGCTAAAAATATAGAAAACAGCAGCCAGGGCGGCATTTCAAATAATGGTGGCAAGTTTTATCAGGTTTAATAAAAGTTTTTGCAAATGAATAATTCATAAAATTTTTATCTGTATTTTTAGCGGTGGGGCACCGCTTCTTTTCACTTATGAGGAAGATTAAACTGAATTTTCGTTTTCAAAACTTTGCATTTCTCTCTGTCAACAAGTTTATTATTTTACGCCTCTCACAGCGAGACGCACACCGGGCGGCCAATCGTCTGCTCGTAGAAGGCACAGTTTTGGGTGGCGTCGACGCCGAAGGCTAATAAAGGAAAATCGGCATAAAAAGGTCTCATAATAAACCGATACCAGTTGTATGGACCGAATAGTCACAGTCGAACCGTCCTCTTGTATACACACCCAGTTGCAACCACCGGCCGTGGTATTGTGTAGCTGCTGCCGCGCCGGAATCGCCCTGAAACCGGCGAGGTGAGGGGCAAAATTTGAACGTAACAATGGGCTTTTCGAAATGGGAGTTCGCTTGTCTGGTGTAGAATTTCGCGCTGATCCCAACTACGTTTATTTTGTCGCCAAACAGCCTGAATTGAAATTTTAGCGAGTTTAAGATTTTTTCGAAATTCTCGAGGTTTAAAGTAAGCTATCTTTATAGAGCACGAGATCTTTTCAGCAAGGTCGAAAACAGCACCTTATGAAGCTTATGAGCTACCTTTCAACCGGGTTTTCAGGGTTATCCGACTCACCTCGCAAGGCCCGACGTTTCTCTTCCCGGAAATGCAAATGGCCGGGCTGGTCAGCGGGTAAGTAGGGATACATGTTTGAATTGGACGCCCAATCGCATAATACATGCGCAGATCCTGGCTCGGGGGCTCTGAAAAAAATGAAAGGAGCAAGAACTACTGATCAAACTATAAAATCTCCAGATCAGTAGCAAAATAACGTTTGTAAATAACAACTCACTATTTCTACCAAGTCGTCCCCAGCCGGCAACCTCGAGTGTAAGATTGGGTGGTGCCAGGCGGGAAAACGGTGCGGGACGTGAATCTGGAGGCGGCGCGTCGTGAAGTTAAGGGAATTGGTAAGCTTAAGAAGTAGGATTGATTATATGTCAGGATTTTCGACTTTCAATTTTTCGATAGGCCTAGGACTAGGCGCTTTTCTAACGAAGCTCAGCTATGCGAAGCCCAAGCCGAAGCTTAAGCGAATCCTAAGCACAAGTCCAAAAACACGAGAAGTTTGCCCTTCAATTTCAATATCCATGCGGTGAATATACCTTCAGCAAAGCGATGTCATTTTCGCAGCCCCTGCCATCTGGATGGCGGTAGAAGTCGGGATGGAGGTGGATGCTGGCCACTTGGATTATTGCCTAAAGCAATACTCGGTTTCTGTATTTTTTTTTTGTAAATTAGTAGCGAAAGGTCGCGTTTAAAATTTTATCGTCCTAATCAACGTTTAAACTTTTTTAAACCTGGATCAAAAACCTTTTACCACATCGGGATCCGGTGTTCCAATAGGTGTCAAGTGTTCGGCGCCGGCGAATACCCAGAATAAACCTGGGGAGAGCCTGAAATTTGGCGACGCGATCGTGAATCAGATTTTTAGAATTCTGACAACCAGCGGCCTATTTCTCATTTAATTTTTGGACTAAAATAAGTTTTTCGATGAAAATATTTTTTGGGGGTTCGTAAAAATCGTTGAATGAAAAACCCACGCTTCTCGGGTCGCGTTCTCACTTGATACAGTATGTCCGGCCGTCAGAATCCAATATTCATTTATTATCGAGCCCATCCCGTTGTGTTCCCAGTAGCTTAAAGGGGGCTTGAGGGTTACGGTATCTAGTCTAACGTGGAGTCTGTTTTAGTCGTCTTCTTAGGCTGTTTTTGGAGCTTTGCGATGCCAAATTGCTCAAAGTTGCTGCAACCTCAAAATTCTGAGCCGATCCGATCTTTCAAAAATTAATGAACTACCACGGTCTTGGAGAAAATTTTCCCGGAAGAGCCGATTTTGTCCATTTGTGAACGCTGTATAATCCTTTTTGTAGCTTGTGAACCGTAAAGATAATGAAATGTAACCATTGTTACTTCTGGTACTTTTGGAAAATATTAGCTTGATTTTACAAAACCTACCGTCCATTTTTGCGTTTGAGTGCCACCGAATACGCATATTTTTCAATGCTGGCCCCCTGACCGCCCACGATGGAATTTAATTGGAAATTTTCTCAAGATATAAATCTTCAAACCTCCACTAAAACTCTAGCTTGCAGCGCCAAAAATATAGAACACAGGAACCCGGATCGCATATGAAATAATGGCGAACGGCTTTTTCGATGTAATAGAAGTTTTCGTGCATGAATAATTCATAAAGTTGCGTCTGGCTGCTCGACAATGATACAAAGCATCCGATATAAAATATAAATTCAGTAGAAGGAAATGGTCATGTTTTTGATGAAGACGGAACGTGGTGAAAGTAGACAACGACAAAGTATGCAAACACACGTTAACAAGTTTATTCATCTTCACAAGGTTCTCACAAGCTCTCGCACACCGCCACGCCTGTTGTTTTATGGTACCAGTCACAGTAGGCAGTCGCGTTGCTACCGTATGCTAAAAAGAGTGGTTAGTTGTCAAAAGCGGAAATTGGTACCTGTTCGTTTCGCGGAATAGTCACAATTGAATTCTCCACCCCCATGAACGCCAAGTTGCACCAGGCCTGCCTTGGTCTGGATTGCGACCGGATCCCCCGAATCGCCCTAGAATATACTGTTAAAGGGGCAGCGCCGGTTTTCCGTGACACGTGGAAAAATTTGCATGCATTTTCGGTTAAAGAGCAATCACGTACACCGCAGGGCCCAACGTTTCTTGGTCCCTTATAGCAAATGGCGCGTTTGGGCATCACATGGTTGGGTTCGCAGTTCTTCCACGGAACCAAGTCTGCTTTGTACAACAACAGATCCACGCTGAACGGTTCTAAAAAAAGAATTTTGACCTCGTTGGTCAGGTTTTCTTGAAACAACAAAAAAAATCAGAATCCGTACTGTTTTTGCCAATCCTGCCCCATCCAGTAATCACCAGCGGCTTCGTCACGTAGCGCCAATCAAAGTTGCTCGGGATTGTGATCGGCTGACGTTGCTTGATGTATTTGATAGGGCTGGTAAGCTGAAATAAGAAATGATGATCGATTAGCATACAACAATTCACTTAAGAATGGCAATTTTTGATAACCGTGGTATCTTATTGGATACCACACCCTGGCTGCGGTGTTTCTCCATAATAACACTAGCAGCAAAGACCCACCCTGACCAACGCGATGTCATTTTCTCCGAGAGGTTCGTAGATTTGTGGATGTGGATGGATGCTGGCCAGTTCGATGACCACCTAACGCTTCACTATTTTGATGTAGTATGCTAGATCTTACGGTCGAGGGATCAACGACGCCCTTTGCCATGTGCTGTGCGCCGGCGAAGACGAAGATTCCAAGCGGACTTTTTCTGGCAAGGTTGTATTTCAAGCTTAGGTTGTGATTTTTTGCTTATGCTTAGGCTTAGGCCTAGCTTTGCCTTACCTTAGCTTTGGCTCAGTTTAGGCTTAGCTTTGGCTTACTTCTGTCGCCTAACCACATCGTAGACACAATGTCCGGCCGTGAGCACCCATTCTGGAGCAATGATCGAACCACCACAAATGTGGACCCAAGAACTAAAGGGAAGGTTACACGAACGCCATACACGCTACGGGTACCCGTTATATATTTCACGCAAGGCGACGGCATGGGGATAAGTTTCGATCGACGTCACGGTGCCGCCAACGAGCTTCTTGTGGGAAACTTGCGCAAAAAACTACTCAAACCTTTTCCTGCGAAAATCCGCAATCTACAGCAAACAGGGCGAAAACTACGAGGTGAGTTAGCATCGTAAATAAAAGGATGAAAGCTTGTAGCTGTCCAGTAAAATGTGCCGTGTCCATGAATAAAACAAATCTGGCATATGAGAGCTTTATATTTAGAAAGATATTGGATAGATAAAAATAAATGCTGGTCAGCGAAGCTAGTTTTTGAGTGGTTTATTATAGCTGATTTATTTCGATGTCATGGAATCGAACTCGGGTCGTGTGCCTGGGAGCCCTGTGGCGCGGTGGGCAGGGCGTCGGCGTGCCAATACAGAGGTGGCGCCAGTCCCATCCCAGCCCCCTCTCAGAAGTCAAAACTTTTTGCTCCGTTTTGCTATGGCTTCAGCATGACGACTATATGCAAATTCATGTCTTGTATTTTTAAAACTAACAATTTTGTATTTTTTGGGGGTCGCCGTTTTGGTGCATTTTAGCACACAGAAGGCGTTCTAGTAAAATTGGGCACCTGGGCGTGAGGAAGATGAAACTGAATTGTTTTATTTTCAAAACTTTGCATTTCACTTTCTCAACAAATTTATTATTTTACGCCTCTCACAGCGTAATGCACACCGGCCGGCCAATCGTCTGCTCGTAGAAGCCGCAGTTCTCGGTAGCGTTCACGCCAAAAGCTAGGTCATTTGATCATTTGAAACGTTTAGTAAAGTGTTACCATGCGTGTAGACATCATAATCGCAGATGGTCCTTCCTTCGGTATGCACACCGAGTTGCAGCCATGAGTCGCCGTATTGAGTAACGACCGCCGCGCCGGAATCTCCCTGCAAGCCAATAATATAGCAAAGCACCGCCTTTCACTCGATGCAAAATGATGTGCACGGAACGACAGTCACACCATTCGATAGCCCTCGAATCGGCCCAAGCAATCCCCAAAACCATATTTTATTTAAATGCACCATTTTACAGCGCATTTAAAAACATTAGGAGCGCCCTCTGCATCTCCTTAACGACTCGTTCCGGTCATTTTCCTTGGAAAAATTGAGGCAAATTAGCTCGTATGCAAACTCGAAAAACCGCAAATTTTACAAAATGGCTTGTAAAATTGCGCAATTCAATAAACACGATGGTTTTGCAGATAATTGCAAACTAGCGGTTTCAAGGGCTTTCGAATGGTGTAACTATCGTTCCGATTCGATACTTCTGCGTGACATTGTTGAGACACCCGGGATAATTTGAAGACCCACCCGACATGGGCCGATACTTTTCGGGCCCGAATAGCAAATAAGCCATGTATTCAGGGGATTATGGGATCGAACCTTGCGGAATTTGGCCTTGTACATGCGCAGATCCTCACTGACCGGCTCTGAAAAGGCATAGACAAAGATTTGTGATCAATAGACAACTAGGGTTTGTGGATAACGACTCACTTTTATTACCGAGGCGCCCCCAGCCGCTAATTTGGAGGGTCAAATTCTTGTGAAACCAGTCAGGAAAATAGTATGGGATGCTAATCCAGAGCCGGCGCGGCGAGTACTCAAGCGGCTTGCTGAGCTTAAAAGTATCTTGAATTTTGTAAATAAGTGGATATGCCAGAAAGTCAAGATACCTTGAGTAAGGCAATATCATTATCGTGTCCTTCAGTTGCTGGATCGCGATAGTAGTTTGGATGAAGGTGGATGCTACCCACTTGGATTATTGCCTAAAGCGGCTTTTTAACATTTTGGGAAGTGCTCAAAATGAGGAATTTTCAATTTTCAGGTTCATTTTTCTCGTTTTTAAATCGCAGGTCCGCATTTTTCAAAAGCCTCGGGCATCGAAGAATGTCTCAAAAATTAGAAGAAGCTCAATTTCCAGAGTTATTAAACGTTTAACAGAAATAAAAATCGTTCTTACGACGTCGTCATCCGGTGTTCCATAAGGCGTCAAGTGGTCAGCGCCGGCAAAGACCCAGAATTGATCTGGGGAGAGCCTGAAATTCTATCTCTCGCTTGCAGATTTCGAGTCCTATTACGAGAATTCAGTTTCTTATGTCCGGTTGATGAGAATTGTATACAAACATTAACTTTAGGATGCCGCTAGGCTTTGTAGAATTCAAAACTAACGCTTCTCGAGTCGCATTTTCACTAGCCACGCAATGCCCGGCTGTCAGGATCCAGTCGTTGCTCATTATCGAGCCCATGCACACATGTATCCAGTAACTGAACGGGAACGCGACACGTTTTATGTCATATTATATTGCCATATATTAATTTTAATGGTAGCTTTTTCCTAATTTGATCCCCGTCAAAATACTCTTATTAAGCCTCGATTACCGCTCGTAAACTGTTAATACAATTCAATTCCAAAAACCTACTGCCCAGGTTTGCGTCGTAGAGCTACCGAAAACGAGTACTTCTCCACGCTGACCCCCTTGCCGCCCACGATGGAATTTAATTGGAAATTTTTGCAAAAGAGAAATTTCTAGAACCTCCACAAAAATTCCATATTTCAGAGCTAAAAATATAGCAAATAGGAGCCATGGCGTCATTTGAAATAATGGCCACAGTGGCCTTCGGATTGAATCGAATTTGGGTATGAATAATACATAAAATTGCGTCTGGCGTTCCCTTAATAAACAAACTATGAAATCGATAAATAAAAATCGCAATGTGCATAATCATGATTTATCGAATCTAGCTATCGATTTAAAATGGGTGTGATTATCGGAGTCTATAAAGAATCTGATGTAAATATTACACAAATGAGTTTCTCTCTCTCCCTCGCTCTCTATCTCTTACGTATTTATTAAAAGCCCGTAAAAACCGTCGCAAGTCTATATGTTTAGGTCTTCGATCGCCACCTTCATGCAAATCGGTCTACCGACGGTTTGCGCGAAGAAGTCACAGTAGGCTGATGTGTCAATCCCATATGCTAATTAAATGATTTTCATAGCTGAAATGATATTTCTTACCCGCCTGAATCCTCATGTAATCACAGTTGAAGCGGCCGGTCGTATGCACTGCGACTTGCCACAAGGTTTTGTTGTAGCGGACTGCGACGGCTGCCCCGGAATCGCCCTGGCAAGCTGTTTCAAGGGACGAGAAGGTTATAAGATTCTGGTTCGTCGGGGGGAAACTTCATAATTGCGCCCCGGTAGAACATCAAGAAACATCCTAAGACTTTTAATCCTAAATCGAAACACAATAATTTAAATGAGTGATAAAAAAAGCACAAATAACCCTAAATATGGGGTCGGTAGGCTATTTTTCGGGCTTGTCGATAATTTCGGATATTTGTTAACCCTATTGGATGGGGCATCAAAAAGTATACTAACAATTAGCAATTGTAAGTATACTTTTTGTTGTAAAAATTAACAATTGCAAGAGTTTTATATACAGCTCAGAGCAATGTAATCTGGAATTTAAGAGAAGAGAGGCTATTGACAAAAAATGTCCCCCCCCCGCTAAAGAACCAGAACCGGTCATAAGCACTGACTTGTGTGTCGCCACCAACCTTACACGTCCCCGAACCTGTCTTCAGGCCCGTGTAGCAAATTTCACCGGGGTGAGGGTCTGGGCACTCTGCTGCGGGGCGCCATTGGGCCTTGTACATCTGCAGATCGACACTGTTGGGCACTAGCAAAATTAAGATACGTGAAGGTTTTAGCCGAAACTGACTATTTAGTCCCAGCCTGCCCCAGCCGGCAATCTCGAACTTTGGTTTGATCGCTGCAAAGTTGAAGCTTCTCGGGATGCTGATCGAGACCCGGCGCGGCCCAAAACTGAGCGGCTTGTTAAGCTAAAACGAACAGCTTTCACACCGCCAATACACTTGTTTTCTTATATAAAGTAGCATAGTTTTTTATTGATTTTATATATTTTATATATATCTACTATAATAATTTTCTTGAGGTGTCTGTCCGTCTGTCCGTCATGTCCCGAATTCGGGTTTTAGTCATCTTTCCTAAAAGTCATCTTTCCTAAAGTCATCTTTCCTAAAGTCATCTTTCCTAAAAGTCATCTTTCCTAAAAGTCATCTTTCCTAAAAGTCATTTTTCCTAAAAGTCATCTTTCCTAAAAGTCATTTTTCCTAAAAGTCATCTTTCCTAAAAGTCATCTTTCCTAAAGTCATCTTTCCTAAAGTCATCTTTCCTAAAAGTCATCTTTCCTAAAAGTCATTTTTCCTAAAAGTCATTTTTCCTAAAAGTCATCTTTCCTAAAAGTCATTTTTCCTAAAAGTCATTTTTCCTAAAAATCAATATTTCTCAGTTGGTTTTTTTCAAGAAAAATTTTTTTTGGAGAAGCCCGGGCCGTAAAATTTTAATGTCTCCATGCCGTACTAGACCTTTTCGGGATGTTTTGATTTAAGTTATGCTATCTTTGAATTCATAAAACTATTCAGAAATCAAAAAATAGGATAGCTCCGATGCGACTAAGAGCTTTTATGAGGACTGACGGCGTTCAAGGCATTTTGCCGTTCCTACACAGGTAGCAGCTTTGAAGTTAGGCGGAGGTGGCATCCCTATTCGCATACCTAACTTCAGGAAAAATTAATCTTCGAAAATAATAGTTTTTAGAAAAAAGTGATTGAGGAAAAATAAAAATTTACGATTACCAAGTTTTAGGAAAAATGACTTTTAGGAAAGATGACTTTTAGGAAAAATGACTTTAGGAAAAGATGACTTTTAGGAAAGATGACTTTAGGAATGATGACTTTGGGAAAGATGACTTTTAGGAAAAATGACTTTTAGGAAAGATGACTTTTAGGAAAAATGACTTTAGGAAAGATGACTTTTAGGAAAAATGACTTTTAGGAAAGATGACTTTTAGGAAAAATGACTTTTAGGAATGATGACTTTTAGGAAAAATGACTTTTAGGAAAGATGACTTTAGGAAAGATGACTTTAGGAAAGATGACTTTTAGGAAAGATGACAGGGATTCCCCGAATTCAACTCGAAGGGGAAAGGAGCTAGAGCTTAGCTCTCTTCGGATTCGGATAGAACGTGGTCAGAAACCCCCAAACTGATAAAAAAATTATGAAAAAGTTTTAATTTAAATTATTAAAATTAACTTTGAAAGTTTTTTCCTTAGTAAAAGCAGGGGGACGGAGGTTTGCCCGATTTCGGACATAGTGAGCCAGGTCGCGCGCGTTTCGGCCAGGGGAGGGCGCGCAGGGAGTAGCCCGAAGTCCAGCCGCTTGCAGCGGCGAAGCCGCTGCAAGCGGCTGGTATTTTATATATAGACACCTTTCTGATACCTTAATCAGCGCAATGTCATTGTCCGAATCCGGCGTATGAACATGATGGTAGAAATTCGGGTGTAAGTGGATGTTGGCTGCTTGGATTATTTCCTAAATTTTGTTGCCTATAAACGTCTCGAAAATAGGCTCGTTGCAATGTCAAGAATCCATACGACATCCGGGTCCGGCGATCCACCGTCCGTCATATGCGTTCCCCCGGCAAAGATGAAAATTTCATGGGCGGGTAGTCTAACAAACGTAAATTAAGATAAAAATATCAAAATGAGCGAAAAATTTAATAAAAATGTATCAATAAATTTTCGTGTTCTAATGAGCCAAAATAACAAAGTAAGCAGCTTACGGCTCCTTTGTCTTATTCATATCCGCAACGCAATGACCGCAGGTCAGGATCCATTCTGTGCCAATGATCGAGCCCATCGCGACGTGGGTCCATTTTCTTAAGTCAAAGTTAGAAAATAAACACATTAATGGAAATTACCGATTTTCGAGCTTCCGTAATGCCACGGCAAAGAAGAAAGTGTCAACCTTGGTTGCGGTGCCTTGTACAATAGAGTTGAGTGGGGGTTCTTCATCCGAAGATCCGTAACGAGCGGCGAGTAGTACGAAAAAGACGAGGCGGTGCAACATATAAGAATGGATGAAAAAAATCTGTTGAGTTTATTAAATTGTCCCCGTCTATGAATATTTATGAAATGGTGTCCATTGAGAGCGAGGGAGCAAGAGAGAGAGAGAGTGAGAGAGCCAAGTGAGTGAGAGAAAGAGAGTGAGAGCGAAAGAGTGAGTAAGATGCCTGCCGCGATACCGCCCACGATTTTGTTCTGGCGGACAAGCGGAAACAATTATTGTTTAACTGCGGTCTGAAACCGCGGGCGGGAAAAGCCCGAGCCCGGCATTCAATGCCTCAACTAAAAGCTAAGCCTAAGTCTGAGCCGACACCCAAGCCTAAGCCGAAACAGGCCCTACGCCTAAGCCAAAACATAAGCTCTAGCTTCTACAGCAACCTGTTCAGCCAGGCCGTCGATGGCCACGACGAACAAAACCGGAAGCAGAAGCAGCATTTGTGAAATGATGAAAGCTTCCATGGCTTTGCTTTATATAATTTTTTAACGCATTAATATTTCATAAAAGCTGCTATGTGATATCGTTTTGAAAACTGTTGAACATTGCAAATTTCCAAATAGAAAATCGCCTCTGTAAAATATTATTGTAACCATATTGCATTAATAATGCACAAAAATGGCCGTGCTGCAACCTCTAAAAAAATGCAGAATCTTGCGAATTTCAAAATAGAAAAAACGTTTTTCAAATAGCAGTCTTTATGCCATAATAACTTTTTGGAATTCACGTTGCCTTGAATTCAATTCACCTTTCAAGACTGTAGAATATTGAAAAAAAATCAGTCTCGACAATGGCCTGCTCAGAATCTAAAAATCTCAGGTCCGGAAATCGAGTCACGTTTTTTTTAGTATCTGTCGTTTTGCAAACAGAATACGGCTGCAAAGATGAAAGTCGATGCATTCAAAACAGCCACGAATCCGCCATTTTGTTTTTGCTTATTGATTTTCTTTTTGCTAATATTTGGAATATTCATCGTCGTACGCAGTATAGCTACCATTTCAATAAATTTATCACGCCTGAATGCAAATTTCTTTCCCAATCGTAGCCTTGTAGAAATCGCAATAGTCGCTGGTGTTGATGCCGTATGCTGATAAATTACTGAAAACAGCTTCAACCATTCTTACCGACGCGGAAATTCGCATAATCACAACTCGGAGCCCCGCCACGATGCACGGCCAGTTGTAGCCACTTATTTTTCTGCTTATAAACGGCAGCGGCTCCGGAATCGCCCTAAAACACGTTTTAGGAGAGGGAGAGAGAGAGAGAGAGAGAGAGAGAGAGAGAAAGAAATCGAGAGATAGATTGAGTGAGAGAGGGAAAGCGAGAGAAAGAGAGACGTACCTCACAAGGCCCAGTCAATCTCGGCGCTTCATAGCAAACCACATCCGAGATAAGGTTGTAGACATGATGGCATTTCAATGAGGAGACCCATTTAGCTTTGTACATCCGAAGATCTTCGCTGTAGGGTACTGAAAGAAAGCCTTTAAGCCTCAAACTAATCTAAGCCGAAGCTAGGCCTAATCTAAGAATTGCTATCAGGATCTCGAAAATCAGAATCTCGAAAATCAGAATCTCGAATTTTCAAAATCTCGAATTTTCATAGTCTCGATTTTCAAATTCTCGAATTTTCAGAATCTCGAATTTTCAGAATCTCGAAATATGCCTATGCTGGATTTAGTGCGTAGGCGTGCAATTTTCGGAACCTTTAATGCTGATTTAAACCATGGAAATTTCGAGATTCTAAAAATTCGAGATTCTGAAAATTCGAGAATTTGAAAATCGAGACTATGATAATTCGAGATTTTAAAAATTCGAGATTCTGAAAATTCGAGAATTTGAAAATTCGAGATTCCGAAAATTCGAGATTCTGAAAATTCGAGATTCTGAAAATTCGAGATTCTGAAAATTCGAGATTCTGAAAATTCGAGATTCCGAAAATTCGAGATTCTGAAAATTCGAGTTTCTGATTTTCGAGATTCTGATTTTCGAGAGTTTGACAGATCCCCCTAATCTAACCCTAAGCTAAGCCTAAGCTTAAGCTTAAGCATAAACCTCCGAATGAACTCACAAACATCGCCCAGCTTGCCCCATCCGGCAATGTCCATGGCAGGTTGTGCACGGGCCCAGTCGAACTTTTCCGGGATCTGAACTGCCTGACGACGATCGCCGTACGTCAGCGGGTGGGATAGCTTAAAAATTTGACGTCTTTTCCTTTGCTACGTTCATACCTTAACCAACGCGATATCATTTTCCACTTGAGCCGTCCCGACGTGGAGATAGAAGTGCGGGTGTAAATGGATGCTGTCGACTTGAATTGCTACCTAACAAAACAATGAAAAAAATCAAACATGAAAATTTATTTAAATTCAAATTCTTACAGCCGTTGGGTCGGGTGATCCCTTGGGCGTCATCTTCTGGGCTCCAGAGAAGACGAAGAATTGGCCGGCGAATGCTCTACATATGTCGAAAGTTATACTTAGGCCTAAACTTCGGCTCAACCTTAGGCTTACGCTTTGGCTTAGGGCTTAGGGTTAAGTTTAGGCTTTGTCTTACAATTAGCTGAGGCTTAGGATTAGTCAGGCTAAGGCTTCGGCTTAGGCTTAGGCTTAGCTTTTGGCCTATGCTTAGTCTTAGGCGTAGGCTTAAGTTTAAGCTCAGGCTTGCAGAAGTGACACTTTTCGGGCACTTAGAACCTACGCTTCATGCGGCCGATCGTGCCGAGCAACGCAGTGACCGCACGTCAGAATCCACTCCTCCGAAACTATGGAACCCATCGCCTGGTGGTGCCAAGTTCTAAAAGAGCGGATACACCGGATTTCGATACAATACTGACGAAACAAGATACCGACAGCATGCATGCCGAAATCGAAACTTTAAATTTTGAGGCGCTGGCTGTTCTATCGGTATGCGTCGGTATTTATCGGTTGGGTTTTGTTGTCAGCATTCTATGTGTCAGTTTGGCGCGTCGGAATTTAACGGTTCGGCATTTTGCTCAATATCCATTTGAACAAACCCATTCATCACATATCGAATCGCCACGGCAAATGGGTATTTGTCGATGGGACCGGCACGACCGCCCACGATCGAGCTAGCTTCCGGCTAAAGAAAATCTTGGAAGACGGCTTTATTTTCGACCTGCGAGAGGACAGCTTGAAAAATGAAAAATAGCAAGAACAGGAGCTTGGGTAGCATCTTGCAAAACTAATGAAAGTCTAGGTATCGAAACGTTCCCTTGAGCAGACAAGTGATCATGAATAGTCGAGCGTATTTTCCAAATTTTCCGAATTTTTGACATATTGAAAAGCTAAAAATAAAATGAAACCCGGAGGTTTTAATCATGCATATTCAGTGTTTTTTCCGACAGGATATTCAAAAGCTAAAAATCGGCATGTTTGCGGTAATATGGTAAAATCCTGGACTTTCTCAGGATTCTGTAGCAGTGTGTCAAATGAATTTGTTTATCAGAATATTCAATTCAAATCCGAACGCAAATTGGCTTCCCAATAGTGTTCTCGTAAAATCGACAGTAGGCCGTGGCGTCGAGGCCAATTGCTAAAAACAGATTTTTAAGGTTAAAAAATTGTTTTACATCTCGATCCGCCCGGGCAGCCACGCACTCCATTTGTATGAACACCAAGCTGTAGCCACCTGCTGCCGCGTTGGACTATGGCTCCGCCGGAATCTCCCTAAATTGCGTAGGCTTAGGCTTAGGCTTAGGCTTAAGCGTAGGCTTAGCTTACGCTTAGCTTAGGCTTAGGCTTAGGCTTGGGCTTAGGTTAGGCTTAAGCGTAGGCTTAGGCTTAGGCTTAAGCTTAGGCTTAGGCTAAGGCTTAATTAAGCTTAAGTTTAGGCTTGGGTTAGGATAAATTAGGCTTAAGCTGAGCTGACCGAGCACGGCGCCTTCGAGCTCGTCCCCTTGTAGCAGATGGAGTTCGGTAGCTGGTTCCCGTTTGGGTCGATTTTCCCACAAGGTACCACCTGCGTGGTCATCATCCGCAAATCAGTGCTGTAGGGCGCTAAAATGAATTGGGAAAGAAGCTGTGGAGTATGAGGAAACGTTAATGAAGTGACTGCAGATTCTAGTGCTCTTACCGTTTGCGCCTAATCTCCCCCATCCAACCAATTCCAGCGGCAAATCAAGCTTCTCGCAGTCAAAACTTTCGGGAATTTGGATCGCCATCGTACGGCTGGTGATGTTGATAGCTTTTCGGAGCTAAAGATAAAAATAAGGGCGTGATTCAAAATGGACGTTTCGGTCTAAACCTTACTCGACTCTCGAACTGCAATGTATTATTTATATAATGTTTAAATTACTTTAAAAGAATTCTAAAAAAGTGCCTTGCAGGGAAAACCGTGCTTGAACAATGTTGCACAAGTGTTGTCATCTGTATCTGCGCGGTTGTAAAGTTGTAGAATAACAGAAGGCCGGATACAGTAGCGCAAGTTTTTACCTGAATCAAGCCAATGTCGTTATAGGAAAACTCGTCAGTCCCCGGCTTTGAGCGAGCGTACAAAGGATGGAGGTGGAACTTTTTGGCTTCGATTATTTGCTAAAAACGCTTGGTAATTTCAAAGATCTTGCAATGCGAAAATGGTTTAATTGCGTTCTGCAATCAAAAACAATAATAACCTACAACTCCGGGATCAGGTGAGCCACCATCAGTCATATGGTTGGCACCTGCGAAGACGCGGAAGAGGTTTGTTGGAAGTCTAAAAAAAAAATGAGAGGCTACAGGGAGAGAGAGAGAACGAGGGCGAGAGAGAGAGAGAGAGAGAGAGAGAGAAGAGACGGAGAGTGCACCACTTACGCCTCCCGCTTCTTATCGATCTTCGATAAACAGTGCCCTGCCGTGAGGATCCATTCCGGAGCGATGATCGAGCCTCCGCAGGTGGTAGTCCATTTCCTGATACGATTCAAGGTATCTGTAGCATACTTTAAGCACAACGTTTCTAAGCATACAGAGCAAGCTATCAGAGATCTTTGTGGAAAAATTCTCGTAGGCTAGCTAACTTACTTGTTGAGTTGGGCTCGTATTGCTACAGCGTACGTGTAGGTCTCGACCGAAGCACCGATGCCTCCAACGATGCCGTTGGCTGGCTGGCAGAACCTTTTTAATAATATTTTAAAATTGTACCGGAAGCTCCTGCGCTACAGTAAACTGTAGTACAGTACTTAGCAGAACTGAGCTAAAGAGCTTGAGATCCATCTTAATAAGTTGTCACAATATTTTTTCTGAAGCTTTATAGCGGGCTCGAGCGTATGAATTATTTATTAGTTTGCGGTTCTATTACATTTGTCTAAATTTAGCATCAAAAAGATTGAACATTGTCATAAAAAATTTTGTTAACATAAAATGTATGTATTCAAGAATATCCTTGTATGTATCTAGGGAGTAAACATAAAATGTACAGGGTGGCTGATAAGTATCCGGAAAAAGTATAAGGTCCTGGTGTAAAAAGGAAAGCACGAAGGTAATCAAAACCAATTATTTTATAACAAGTAAAAGCTAAATATTCGTCACTGTAACGATTTTTGACGTGACATCTATCTGCTTCGATTTATGCTTCAATTTGTGACTATCCTAAAATGGCTGTGCGCCGCGGGCAGTTGTCGGCTATTTTGCTCAAAATCTTGTGAAATTCTTGGTGAAGATGAACCATATTCTTGATGCCCTGGTTCCTTAGTTCGTGTTCCATGCATTCCCGCACAGAAAAATCCAGTGGAAGACGATCTGGGCTTTTGGCAGGTCATATAACCTTCGTCATAAAAGCGTCGATTTCTGGGCGAAAATGACGAATTGTGGTTTTTGGGCCCTAGCTTCGAGCCCGATACTGTTGAAGGGCAATACACGGATTATTTCTATTACAGAGCATCACATCATGCTCCAGAATATCATTTTGATAGAGGTTCACCTTGATTTTAGCGTTCTGTTCGATGAAAACCTGTCAGAGACGCTAATTCCTCTTCAGACCATATAACTTTCTGGGATAAGCCTTTTTGTAGTAATTTTTAACTACCTGGTATTCTTCAGACCCGGACTGAAAAGTTATGGCGGTTTTTGAGAGTTTTCAGACGCCTTAACCCAGAAAATTTCCTCGTCTAAACATTGACTACCCCAGGTGCGGCGCACCTAAGCTTAAGGAAATGACGGCTAAAGACAGCTTCTTGGCGCTCCGATATTTTACTGTCCTAAATCAACTCAATTGTAGTCATGAAATATCAAAGTTTATACAAGCACATACACAATGGCTTTGAGAAAATAATATAAAACTCGATGGTTTTTTTGTTACGCCATGTCAAAGTTTTTCCGGATACTTATCAGCCACCCTGTATGTATCTGAGAGACTCGAGCCGCCTTGAAATTTTTATGCTTCAAAGTGTAACGCATATCCTCCGCCCGATGGTTTCTTCGTAAAAGTCGCAGTAGAACGTCGCGTCGCGCCCGTATAAGACGACTAGGATCACGAAAAATTAGAGATTACGAGGAAAAATTCTTAACAGAAAGTTTTGAAATTTACCCCCTGGCCCGGGTATGCAGTCCGGGCGGCCATTAGTGTGCATGCCGAGCTGGAACAAACGAAAGCCCGTGCGAAGCACCACGGCGCTGCCAGAATCTCCCTGAACAATCGCTTTTAGACGAATATCCGAATATTCCGAATGCCGACATTAACGAATTTCGAAATTATGAGATTCCAACATTCTGAAATTTCGACAGTATGAAATTTCGATATGGCGATCTTCGATATTTTGAAATTGAGCCTTATTCTGCTGTTATAATAATCTTATTTTTTCTGCTCATTTTTTGCAGCAGCATTTCCGGTTGGCTCGTTGCCAATTATACCCGTCTTCTACTGGTACTTCTTCATCCATATAAGTCCAGTTTTTGCAGGAAAACTTGTAACTTCAGCAACAAAAATTATGGAAAAGCGGGTAGAATATTTGCAATTTTGAAAAGCGGTAGAGAGCCCATCGCCTCAGCTGGTCGATAACTTTCGATGGATACCTTAATGGCAAAAATCGGGCCCGACTGCGGAACGCTAAAAGCCTTTTTCTCGACAGCCTATATGTTGCGCAAGTCATTAATTGTCGCAGTGATAAATTCAAATACTTGCGCCGCATGTCGTTTGGCTGTTGTTGACCGCCTTGTAGCATAGCGAATTTTTCGTCGTGCTGCCCCTTCTGTCGATTTGGCACTCCTTTATCTGCACTTGTATCATGCGCAGGTCTGTGCTATGTGGCTCTAAAAGACATCGGGCCTGTAAGGGCTAGATTGGTCGCGGGGGGGGGGGATATTTAGCAGACTTTGAAAATTTCGGATTCCGTTTTGGTGATTTTTCATACATTTTTTACCAAACAGCGAAGATTGTTCAAAATTTTTATTATTTTTTCCATTTTTTTCCGTCGAAAAGTATGTAAAAGGCTATAAAATAGTTTTTATTTTTTATAAGGCCGTGGATAATCCTATTGAAAAATTTGGTGTCCATCCCCGCTAAAAATCCCACCGCTGACAGCCCAGAACCGACTTTTCCACTAACGCGAGCCTCCAACTTAGAACCAAATAGTGCATCCTGAGGTTATACAGGTTCCGAAAGTCAGAAATACAGGGCTTTTTGCGTATGTGAGATTCCTGTCCAACGCACCAAGCGCGCCCAGTTTTCCCCATCCAGCCAGCTCCAACGGTCTGTCAGGGAAGTCCAGCTTGCCCCAATCGAAATTCTTTGGGATATCGATCGACAGCGCCTGCATCGTGAACGTGATATGTGTTGTGAGCTGCAATACAGGATGTCTCGAACTATAAAATGGACCAAAGATCTAGTTAAAAATACCTTAATCAGGCCAATATCATTTATGGCATATCCGGCTTGGGGGCCCGGATTGCTGATAGCGAATTCTGGATGAAGGTGGACCTCTTTTGCTGGTATGATTTGCTGAAAGCTGGAGATCTCTCTATCTTGCTGTCTCTCTCTCTCCCTCTCTTCTCTCTCTTGCTGGGTTTATTTCCCTCTCCCTCTAACTCTCTCACCCGCTCACTTTCGCACTCTCTCTCTCTCTCTCTCTCTCTCTCTCTCTCTCTCTTTCTCTCTCTCTCTCTCGCTCTCTCTCACTCTTTCCCTTCACCTGGTGAAAACATACCACGCCCGGTGTTGTCGAACCCGCACGCGTCGCCCTCACGTTATCGGCCCCTACGAATACAGTGAACAGCTCTGGCGGTAGGCTAAACGTTGATCTGTTAAAGGGACTTACAGAAGTGCCGTGCCACTTGTCAGAAGCGTCAAAAAAATAGGCCAAATGCCCCTTGAAGCCCCGTATCAAAATCCAGCACAATGCCATGGCCATGGTCGTCAACTCTTATTGTACGCAATTTATTCAAAACTATCCGCGTCTTATTTGGCCTTCCCGAGTTAATTTCTGATTTGGAATGGTAGGCAAACTTCGAAACGGTTTGAGTTTGATGCAACTCACGTCTCGCGTTCCCAAAAAATGTTGGAGATGCAGTGGCCGGCCGTTAAGATCCACTCTGCGTCGATGATCGACCCGCTGCAAACTGTGACCCACCGGCTAGAAGGTGATTTTTTTTATAGCTCGAAAAATATTTGAGCTTTGGGGGGAAAGTATGCTATGTGAAAGGCTTACTTATTACGGCGTGTCCGGATAGCTACAGCGTAATTATGCGAGTCTACGGATACACCATGGCCACCCACGATGCTCCTGGCTGGCTAAAAGCCACGTATTTTCATATAGAAAGTGCATTATGTCTCGGTACTAACTAAGGAGAGGAGAGAGAAAGCGAGAGAAAGTGAGAGAGAGAGAAAGAGAGAGTGGGAGAGGAGAGAAGAGGGAGAGATTATCTACCGATACTTGAAACGACAACCTGAAGTAGAACACCCAACACGACCAGGTGGGTCAATTTCGCCTGCATTTTTCCATAGCTCAAATCATTTTTGAGATGCTTTATAGCTGTCTGGGTTTGGATATGAATTATTTATCGGGCCGTGTCGAATTATTTAGGTTTGAATTAACACATAATTTCGCATAAAAATTGAGCTAAAGGATGAGGGCTAAAAATAAATATGCGGAAAGGTTTTTAAAAGACCAATTTAATCCTCCTGCAGTCGCTGGCAAATTTCCCTGCCGATCGTCTTTTTGTAGAAGTCGCAATATTTCGTCGTGTCCATGCCGACGACTGGAATTTTCGGGAGGTTTCGAGAGTTAAAAAATGTTCAGATACCTGGCGCAAAGTCATCCCATCGACAGTCCAGACTGCCCCAAGTTGGCATGCCGAGTTGCACCCAAACCTCTTCGCCTTCATGCTGAATTTTCCGGGCAGCTGCGGCACCCCAGTCTCCCTAAAAACTGTTCATTCGGGACTTAGAAAGCTAACTTGAAAGTTTAGATAAATCTGAAACCTGAAAAACCTACATTACAAACGCCTTTAAACTGATTTGCCATCAGGCAAATAATTTCCGAGGGGAATTTGTAGTTCCAAGCATCATCACAACGTTTTTTGGGCTGAATCGAAGTACGGTAATAGCGTAGATGCTCGGCGGCTGGTTCTAAAAACGCTATAAACTACAAAAACAGAACAAAAACAAAACTTGTAAAAATTTACCATCCATCCCCGTTTTCCCCCAAGCCATCACATCAACCAGCTTTCCCTTGCTGATCAGAGAGTTTTCCGGAAATGGAATGAAGATTTTCTGGACTGTTTTCCCGAATTTGAGGGGTTTGCTCAACTAAAATTGTTTCCGATAAAAAGTACAAAAATAACCTTGATTAAGGCAAGCTCGTTGTAGATAAAGAGGTCCAGTTCATCATTCGGTTTGTCATCAACTTTCATTTCCGGGTGGATGACGACATCGGCGACTTGGATGACTTGCTAAAATTGTGTCTCTCTCACTCCTCTCTCTCTCTCTCTCGCACTCTCCCGCTCTCTCTCTCTCTCTCTCGCTCTCGCTTGTTTTGTCCCTCTCTAACCGTAATTCCATCGTCTGAGCTTGTCGAAGTTACCCTGGTACTCCCAGCTACGATTCGGTACTGATTCGCCGGACTTAAAAGGAAAAGTCAGAATAGGACAAAGTACTGAGAAATACGTTCTACGGCTTCCAAAGTAGAAACAATTCGCAGCTCCGAGGACCCATTCGCGATCGATTATCGATCCGGCGCACACGGTGAGCCATTTTCTGAAGGATTTTTAATGGTACTTGAAGGTTCAAGGTACAGGCGTTTGGGAAGTTCTACCCGAGACGTGATGCATTTCTTCATCGCACAAAAGCTTTCTCTTAAAAACCTACTTTTTGACTTGGTTATAGACCTGCAGCGTGACCGCAGACGGATATTCTCCGGCTTCTGCTTCCAGCCCACCAACGATTGCGTTCTGAACTTTTGTGTTTGCCTTAAAATTAGTTAGTTTTCTTGCCGTTTGCACTGCGCAAAGACATAGTAAAAGTAAAGGCTGCAGCAGGTACATGGCCGTCTATAGAAATTCACTTCAATGTCTTTCTTATACCAAATTCGCAGCTCTGATTCATTGTTTCGGCTGCTCGCCATGCGGTGCTTCTTTGGGGACGATCAACAAGACCGAAAATTCAACAACGGGAAGCGGAAAAATGGGTTGTCAGCGTTTTATTTTTATGTGTTTAGATTGATTGATTGTGCTCGCAAATGTATTCTTTCACATCTTTCCCAGTTTGATGCACATCCGCTTGCCAATCGTCTGCTCGTAGAAGGCACAGTGTTTGGTAGCGTCGACGCCATAGACTGTAGTAAAAATTCTCTGCATGTTAAAACCCATCAATAAGGTATTACCATGATTGAAGATAGAATAATCACAATCGACGCGTCCTCTAGTATTTACGCCCAGCTGCAGCCACTGGGATTTGTACTGGGTAGCCACCGCCGCGCCGGAATCCCCCTGGAAACCGATTCCTTGTGAGCTGCTTTAAAAATCATATTCAAGCCGGGTTTCCACGACTTGAAGACTCACGTGGCACGGACCGGCGTTATAACGACGGCTGGAGAGATAGCAAATGCTCGGGCCAGACAGCGAGCCTCTAATACTACACTCTTGAAGAGGTCGACCTTTGGCTTGATACATGCGCAAATCCTCGCTCATCCGTTCTGAAATCGCGTATGAAACCAGAAAACCTCTATTAACGAAGATAAATAAATAAAATACGTACATATAGTAGAGTGCATGCCAATACATAAATAGGTTTTAGATAGCAACTTACTTTTTTTACCGAGACGCCCCCAGCCGGCAATATCGAGTGTGAGAAACGGATCGTCCCAGGCTCGGAAATTCTCCGGGATGCGAATCTGCTGCCGGCGCATCGTATAATCCAGTTGCCGGCTGAGCTGAAAGAAAACGGGCGGTGTTTAGGTATCTCGCTGTTGTCATTTCGACCCATCTATAGATTCGACCCACATTACTCATAAATCCATTAAACTTAGACCTACTACAAATGAGTATACAAGTAACATATAGTTTAAATTTTTTCGATGCTTTAGTTGTTAGTTTCAAGTTTGGACAAAGCCTCTCCTGTGCAAAATGCAAAAATATGGTCAATAGCTTGGCAGTGAATATACCTTCAGTAAGGCGATGTCATTTGCGTAGCCCTGAGCGTTCCCCGGATTGCGATAAAAGTCGGGATGCAGATGGATGCTGGCCAATTTGATTATTGCCTAAAGAAGTCAGTCGATAGGCCGTTTAGAAAAAGCATAAAGATAGCCAGCTTAATCTAAAAATTCTGGATGTATCTGTTCAAAAAACCAATAATTCTTCTTTTACCACATCACGATCCGGTGATCCAAAAGGTGTCAGGTGATCAGCGCCGGCAAAAATCCAGAATAGCTCTGGGGAAAGCCTGAAAGTGTTAATTTGGTATTTGGTTTAATACCGTAAAAAAATTTTAATTTGATGGGCAAATTCTAGCAAACCTTAGTAAAAACTAACGCTTCTCGGGTTGCATTTTCATTTGCGACGCAGTGTCCGGCAGTCAAGATCCATTCTTGATTCATTATCGAGCCCATGCAGACGTGTATCCATTGGCTCAAAAGGGCGTAGTAAGAAGTTTTCTTAGGCTGAGGCTTAGGCTTGGCTTAGGTTTAGAATTAGGCTTATTACACATAGGCTTAAGCTTAAACTCAGACATATGTCTAAACTTACATTAAGGCCTAAAAAACCTACTTCCCAATATACCGTCGTAGTGCCACCGAATATGCATATCTCTGAATGCCGACCCCGACGCCGCCCACGATGGAATTTAATTAGAAATTTTTACAAAACTGAGGTCTGCCATACCTCCACCAAGACACCGTATTGTAGCGCTAAAAATACAGAAAATAGCAGCCCGAGCGGCATCATTTCAAATAATGATGGCAAGGCCTTTCAGATTTAATAAAAGTTGTTGGGCATGAATAATTCATAAAATCGCGTCAGGCTTTGTTTTTAATCAAAAAAGTGGGAAAGATGTATAAATAGTTTTTAAAAAATGCTTGTTCATAGCTTTTAGAATGCGTCCTTTTTCTGATATTAGCCAATACGAAAAATACATATTTTGTTTTGTCAGAAGTATGCATACCATTATACCATTACACTTCCCTTTTAGGGGAAGAAATGTATGTCAGCGATTTCAACAAATTTATTCCTACGCAAAATCTTTAAAATCTGATTTTGACGCAGGGAGCATGTGTGATCGGCTCCAGCCAGTCGCAAAATTGAGACAGGTCGACGGCAAGGGCTAAATTGAGACTACTATAAGCGGCAGAGAGCGAGAGAGAGAGAGAGAGAGAGAGAGAGAGAGAGAGAGAGAGAGAGAGATACCTGGCTGCTGCTTACGATAGCTACAGTTCATCTCAATATTCGAAACGAGCCCAATCTGGTACCAGTAGCTATGCATTTTCAGCAGAACGGGGCCGCCGAAATCTCCCTAAAAATAGAGAAGCTTTTGAAATCTCTTGATTGTAAAACTCACGTCACAAGGCCCATGCTTCTTCTCTACGCCGGCAAAACAAAAAACAGTCTCGTCAAATTTCATGTCCGGAAACGTGGGCTGACAAGAAGTTGGGTCGACAGGATTCGCGTCCATTGAGCGAAGCTCTGGGCTCGCTCCGACTAAATACTACGTTTTACGGACGTCGGCATGCAACGAAACGATAAGACATCGAATGAATCACTGCAAAATCTCTTTAAAGTTATCTAAGGAATTCTAAAAACTAAAAACACACTATCCGGCGCGCTGCCGTCCGATCCCCAACCGATAGCAATTATAGGCTTCTCAATCTTCTCCCAACTGAACGGCTCGGCCACTGAGATTGGCAACGCGTTCATCCAGAATTTGATGGGACGCTCGAGCTGAAAGAGGCTTAGGCTTAGCTTATGCTTAGGCTCAGGCTTAGGCGTAAGCTTAGCCTTGACCTGGGCTTACAAAATACCTCCAGAAGTGCGACGTCATTATAAACATCTCCGGTTGGTGCGTTTCTCAGAAGATCCGGGTGCAGAATAGTTCTTGCGACCATGTACGGGGTCTAAAAATCGTTTTAATAAAGATATAGGAATGCAGTACGGACATTTAAGACGTAATGTTTTTATTTAAATACCTTAAAATTGTACCGATTCTAGGTAACTGACCGGTCTAATAATATTATCCTCTTCCTCGTCTTCTTCTTCTTCTCCGGCTGGCCTCTCTCTTGGCCAAAACGTAGTTCCCACAAAAACGCGTAGGTGATTTGGCGCCAACCTAAAAACTTTTTTGCTTTCCGATTCTCATATTTTACAGCTTTTTAGACTTTTAGGTATAGTTGGCTCATTTTTAAATAATCTAGTCTGAATCTGAGGCTCACTTTTCCGTCTGAACCGCCTCGTTATCCAGCACACAACGCCCCGACGTTAGAATATGATTCTGCGAAACGATCGATCCGCTGCAGGTGGTGACCCAGGTCCTGTATGATAGAAGTTGTTGATCTTATTTTCTTAAGAAAATCCATATACCCCTTATACGATCGCTGAATAGCCGCAGCGAAGTAGTACTTCTTTACGGTTTCTGACTGGCCGTCAGTGATGCCAATCACAGGCTACAAAATAATTATAATTGAAAGTTTTCAAGCTCAACAAACCTGCAATATGCAGAATAACCCAAACGTAATAAAAATCAGCATATTTTTGGGAGTTTGATAGCTAGAAAATCGCAGAAAAGAAAAAAATTCGGTTAGGCAGCTTTCAAAATTTTTATGAATAATTCACAATAGTTTTTTGATATTAAAAAACGCAAAAATAGCTTCTTGGGATTGCAAAATTGCCATCGATATGGAGAGAAAGCGAGAGACGAGAGAAAGAGAAAGATAACTAACTTTTATGACGTAATTTTAAACCGAGAAAACAATTAATCCCTTTATTATCTTTCTTAATTAATAATGATGTACGGAACGTCGCCGGAACCCTCTTCCGGATCATCAGGATCTCTGTTAGGCAGACAATTGATACCGTTTTCCTTGAGGAAATTGCAGTAGGGGCGCAGGTCGAGAACGACCACTAAAAGCTAGATTAGATATTTCGGCATTGTCTTACTTGGCTCATCACGCAGATAGCTGCAGGTGGATTCTGGGTGCAGCCCGACCAGCATACCCACAAGCATCGTTCTCTGCTCATGCATTATCACAACCGCACCGCCGATGTCTTCCTGAAAAATTAGTGAGGATGGAGACTACACGTAGCAGTACAGAACAGTACGCAACGATACGGAGCAGTACGGTGAACGCCGGTATTGCCCCTTAGTACGCACCATCGCGCTCTGGTACGCCAAACTACACTGCCACACCTGCCCATACGTAGCGATACCTTTTTCTTATCAAAAACGAAACGAGTACGCTGAAATACGGTAAGCTGCGGCCCGGGTAGCTACAGTATCCTAGCATTCAGCACCGAAGCACGAAGACGTAGCGCACGCACTCTTCTGGCCAGCAGCTTAGGAATGCTTTGTTTCCAAAGTTTCGACACTACGCCAAGGTAACTACCGTATCCCAGAGTAGGCAGTAAGACACAACATCCACATACCTTACAAGACCCAGTCTGCGTCTCATTGGCCCTGATACAGTAAACCTCATCCGGGAGCTCCGTTTCAAAGAGTTCCTGGCAAAAATCCTGCGGAAATAGGCCGGCCTCGTAGCCGTATAGGTCTCCGTTTTGGTTATCTAAAAGTTATTTCAATTTTCCAGGTTTTAGCGAGGCTAGAAGCTGTAAATCTTTACCCGTTTTTTAACTGGGTAGCGTCATCTGCGCAACATCTTAAAATCCGCCTTAAGAGCGCATTTTAGTTTGTGAAGTCACGAGGCGGCGTTTTAACAATGAGGGAAGATAAAAAACGGGGTGGAATGGTCACAAGTTTGAAAGTAGGCTAGCAGATGCTCTTTGGGAAGGTCTTTCCAATCCACACATACTCTCGATCTCGGTCCGTCCCCATCCCATCAACTCCAACGGCCCCTCCCAGTCATCCCATTTGAAGCGGTCCGGGATCATGATCGGGGTGACGACGTGTGAGAAGTTGGCGCCTTTCTTCACCTAAATTGGGGTTAAATGTACTTTGAAGCCAAATCTATCGGCTTTTCCAAACGATTAGGATACAGCTTACCGTTAACAGTGCAATATCATCGTGGAAGTCGTTCTCCAGCGTCGTGCGGTCTTCGAAAAATTCAGGATGAACGATGATTTTGTCGATCCCGAATAATTCCTAAAGTATCATCTGTATTTTCTTAAAAGCTAAAGGACTACCGCATTCCGCTCATCCGATCCCCACGGCGTTACGGTTTCGGCATTCCAGAAGACGTACATGGAGGTGTTGGGGTATCTACATAGACGATCAGAAAGAATTAATTCGATTTTTTGACATTTAATATATCAGGCTAAAAATTGAATTTTTAACTTCCTAGACCTTTAAAACCACCTACAGCTCAAAGGGCGCTTCGTCCTGCACGACACATCTTGCTGCCGTGAGCACGACAGAATCGCCGATCATCGAGCCACCACATCTTGTTTTCCAGACTCTAAATGAGGCTCTCGCTAACACTATGCCTTCCGTCGACCTTTTCTCTCTCTCTCTCTCTCTCTCTCTCCTCTCTCTCTCTTTCTCTCTCTCTCGCTCTCACTCTTTCTCTCTCTATTTTTCGCTCTCTCTCCCTCTATCTTCCACTGTCTCTCTTTCTCTCTCTTTCTCTCTATCTCTCGCTCTCTCTCCCTCTATCTTCCACTGTCTCTCTTTCTCTCTCTTTCTCTCGATGTTCCTATAACTCACCCCTTCTTACTAACATAACGAATCGATACCGCAAATGGGTATCGATGAATGGACATTAGCTCCCCGTCATGAACCGTCTCTCCGGGCTCTAAAAACCCGAGGGCAACAAACAAAGGAAAGAGTAGCATCGCGGAATGAATACTGTAGATATGCCCCGACTTCTCTCCCTTCTGCGTGCGATGAATTTCAATCAAAAAATTTATTTTTGTCGAAAAAGAGAAGAGGTGATGTGGCTTCGATTTTTTGGGGCTTGAAATTGCTTCGATTAACGGTGGACGAAGTTGGTATCGACGCGGACGGCGTTCTTCAGGATTGTGATTTGCGGGTCTGAAAACGTGTGTTAGAGTGGCGAGAGATAATAGAGAGTGTGAGAGAGATGAGAGTGAGGGAGAGGGAACGAAGTACTTACTCGAAATCGCCAGCTCCGCCTCCTTAAAGATCGGAATCATGATGCCACGGCGTAGAAAAACGTTGAATATGAATTCCTCCGTATTGGCGATCATGCTATCGAAGATTTTGGTGTATCTACAACGGATTTGAAAGAGCTTCAATTCTCCCGCAAAAATTTAAAGCCGATGCTCCCCTGATCTTCACGAAAATCTACTCACTTCTCGTCCATCTCTCCAATCGTCGATGCGACCTTCTTCAAGTTCACCGTAGTATTCGAGATTTGCCCAAATATTTTCGCTTCTTCAACCTTCACTTCCAGCTTTGAACTCGTCGTGAGCTCGAGCTCAGCCAATCTTGTAGAATTTTGGGTCATCGGATTCAAATAAAGGTTCAGGGCAATCACGGCTTTGAAAGCAGCGTAGGATTCCTTGAAATCGAGCTGCAAAGACTTCCGGATTTGCAACAACATGCTCGTACCTGAGGTGTTGATTTTGTGCTCGCAACCACGTCGACGAATCGCCCTTTGTATTGCTCGGCTAGGCCAGGGAAAATGGTGCCCAGGCAGACACGTCCATTGCAACTAGGACAAGATATTACCTCCTACACACTCTCTCTCTCTCTCTCTCTCTCTCTCTCTCTCTCTTTCTCTCTTTCTGTCTCTCGCTCTCTCTCCTCCCACTCGCTCTCTCTCACGCTCGAGAAAACTCACTCCGTCTTCAAAAATCCGGAGTACTCGCTCGACATGTCCTTGCTGATCGTCTGCTTCAGAATTCCCGCGGTGTGAGGTGGTGCGATCCAAGGCACAGTCTGCCAGTTGCTCCGAAGCAAGCAACGATGCCATGTATTTTGATGCATCATCGGCTAAAGCAGCATTTTTTGCGTGCTTTAATAATTACAAGTTTCCAGCAACATACTCAATGCCATCGGCTGCGCCTCTATCGAGCACTTGGCGCTTCCGTGGCTCACGATGCCGTGCGCCCAGACTTCAGTGAATGCGCTGAAACATATAGAAAAGCGGTGGTTTCAAGAATTTTTCATTTCGTTATCAAATTATGTTTTTGCATTTCAGAATGAGGACCCACGGTTCATAGATCAGCTTCATAAACTCGTAGTCGAGCTGAAAGTTATTCTTCAAATCGTGCTGCATCGGGATCGAGGCGAGCTTTTCATTGACGTTTCCAATAGCTTTTTGAAGATAGTTACAGGACTGAAAAGAACTTCACCATTATTTTTTAATGAATTTTAATTTAATGGATCGCCGTATTTTTTCGTAAATAGTAATTTGAATAGGAGTTTCCCAGCAACAAAAGAAAAATGTGTGAGTTTACGCTACCATCAGATCGCTCCAATCCGCCCCCGCTCGCGATATGAAATTTCTAATTTCCGATGAGCGAGAAATATGCTAAATTAACGACCCCCTGATATCTCCAAGTTGCTTTCGGGTCCGATAACACCTCCAGAAACATTTGCCGCATACCTCTTTATTTAGCGCATTACGAGCCAGGTCTTCGAGTGGCTTTCGGAAAATGTTGATCAGCCAGTCCAATTTACCCCGAAACCTGAATTGAAAATTTTTGTTTGTTGGTAAATGGTTGCCAACGTTAGGCGAACATGCTCAGTTCCAGCGTTGCAATTCTCGAAAAAGACTTTCGGTTTTCCGCCCTCCAGCTTGATTTTGACATTGCCATCGGCGTAGATGTTCTTCAGGTCGGCGCTCACACCGCCACTCGTTGAGAACTAAAATTGATAAAACAAATTGAACGCAATAAACAATTTGGTTTTACAATTTTTTTTGATCTCTCTTTTTAAGGCATTCCCACCTTGATGATACGGTTCTGCCGATATTTGGCTTGATACTTGCCCCGGCCCCACAGTTCCAGGCCGCGCATCTTTATGGAAATTCCGTCAGTTGTCAGGTTGTAGTTGAAGCTTCAAAAAAAATTAACGACCGGATTTGGGCAAACCTCGGCGGATTCATGCCTTCCAATACCATGTTGCGAAGTTTTATTTCGCCCTTGCCTTTTTTCAGCTCGAAGTCGGGGACCGGCATGTTCGGCAGGTTTTTCTGCATCTAAAAGGAATTCTGTTATACATTGTGTCCTAATAAAAAACACCCCCCCTCTAACTCGATGGAAACGGGTCAGATCGGAACGATCGTTTCTGATTTATCGTGGTTGCGTGCGAGCCGATATGCCTCAATTTTTCCAGGCAAAACGACCGAAGTTACGGCTAGTTAGTTGCAGAGGTCGTTCCTTAATGTTTTGAAATCCGCGATAAAATTCCTAGTCTTTATAACAACATAGTTTTGAAGATTTTTTCAAACTAACGGTTTTACAGGCTTGCGAATGGTATGATTACCATTCCGATCCGATACTTCTGCGTCGAGTTAGAGGGGCTGTTTTTGAATGGGACATCCTGCGTTTAACAAAACCAGAAATATGAATTTTGAACAAAATTAGGCGTTTGAAGTTGAAAACAACCTTGCAACCCACCAAGTTCAGCACAGTCTCCCTTAAGAAGTCATAGCCCGGGCGATTCAACCGCAATTTCAGCGAAGGATTATTGGCGGAACCCGGCGGCGGCGGTGTTTGCCCGAATGCCAAACCAAGAATGATACAGAGAACCAGCGACTTCATCCGGAGACGTTGGCACAATATACAGTAGTAGTACTGATGCTGTCCACTCCTCGTCTTGCCTTTTTATAAAGCATCTTATCAGTCCTGTCGAGATAAGTTGTGTGCCTTTTGAATGACGCGAGATTACTGTTTACATTCGTTAGGACTTGGTGCGACTTATGTTTTCGCCTTTCTACTGCCTGTTATCAATTTATCTGGACTGAATTTTGTGTTATGAGCATTAACATAAGCAGGCGATAATCCCATCAACAAGTTATGAAATTATTGCTCTGTTCATGTTTTTCTTTTTAGCTTATTTTAGACATCTTCTGGCTTCGTGCAAACGTTTAAAGAAGCTGAGTTGGCGATCTCCAAAAGGTCAAGTTTCGGAATAATGATCTCCCTCTCTCTGCCACTCTCTCGCTCTCTTTCTCTCGTTCTTTCTTTCTTGTTCCGTTTTGTCACTCGCTTTTCTTGCTAGACCATGGTAATTCAAGGCATCTTATTTAATGCAACCTACGAAATACATACAATTCATTACTTTTTAAATTAATATTGCATTATGAGACTACACAGCATGCCTTTTTCTGCCTTTCGAGCTTCTTCCGCTTCTCCTCCTCCTTCTGACGCCGTTTCCACCCGGCATCCGGGCTCTCGGTAATTCCGAGTGTTTGAAATAATTCAGCCACATCATCTACCGGCCTCGGCGGTTTTTTAGGACCAGCTGGGACCGCTAGCGTCCGGAATCGACTTGCAGGACTTGCCATTGGAACTGGTTGTACATAGTGGCCCATCCCAATCGCTGGGTTTGGGTTATTTCCGTAAGGTTGAACATCAGGATACGAAACTCCCGGCTGGGTCGGCTGTCCATAGTCACTCATCGGAGAGCTCTCCATGTCGCTGGAGCTGGGAGCTTGATAAACGGGATGAGGCGGCGGTTGATGGTCCATGTCTGGAATTGGCTGATTGTTGTAGTTGTAGTTAGCGATTTGGGGAGCGGATGGATCGTAGTTGCGGATGGCAGCGGAATAACCCTGAAAATACTGTATTATAGCACTTGTGGGACGTTTAGGCCGAAAAGTGAGAGACCAGGGCAGAGAGAGAGAGAGAGATCGAGAGAGAGTGAGAGCGTGTGAGAGAGAGCAGGTGAGAGAGAGAACAGACAGACAGAGCAAGTTCGAATTCCTACCTCTAATTTGGCAATTTGCTGATCTGCAATCAAGGGAGGCAACGTAGCTTGCGCCAACTCCCTGAACTCCTTCAAAAAGTAGTCGTTCTCCAGCTGCATTAAATTTCTGATCGATTCAGCTTGTTGCCTAGAGGTTTCCGCCTCGTTTCGCAGAATGTCCAGTTGATGATGGACTTCATCGATGCTGAGGTCGAGCATGTACTGAAATTTGCAGCATAAGATGCTTTAATTTTAAGCTTTAGGTTTAAATTTGCTTCTAGGAAAAAGAAAGATAAGCCCCTTGAAAAAGGTAAAAGTAAAAGGCTTTTTCGATAAGAAACTGCTTTTGAATGTGTAAACGATTGTTATAGGACCGAAATAATCTTAAAAACTCACATTTCGTATCGACTTATCCTCGCACAACTGATTCATCTCGATAATTATTGTAGGCAGATCGTAGCGCTCATTGCAGAGATCCGAAATTGTGTATAAATTACAGCCACTCGATCGAATTTGAGCATGAAGTCGCTGCAAGTCCCCCAACGTTGTCTGGGCCAACACACAACATTTTTCGACAGCAAACTCGTTGCTGAGAGGACTGAAATTTGCGAATTTTGTCAGGATACGTTGTTTTAACAAATTTACGTAGTTTTTCAAAAGCTAGGTAGCGTTGCTGATAAAATCTCCAGATGCCTTAGTTTTCAAAAAGCGTCAGAAAAATGCGATTTTTGTTACAAAATTACAAAATGAACTTACATCTGGCCCATACATTTATTTTCCGGATTCATTGATGCTTCTTGTGTAGTAAATGCAATTTTTGGAAAAGACAGCGTGTAGTAGAACGCAAAATTTGTCACCGGGCCATTTGTGATAAGCCGGAATGGACGGCCGAGCGATCAATAAGTGAGTGGGATGGGTTAATGAGCGCTGACTTATTTGAAGCAATTGACCATAAAAGTGCGTTACTGATGACAGATAAAGCCTCTTTCAGTTATAATTAAATTGTAGGTGAATTTTTTAATTTAATATATCTAATTTTTTTAACAAATGTTTAATTCGAAGGCTGGGGTCACTACTAATGTATTACGTGCTTCAATAACTTTATTAACCTTGCAAAATGCTTATGAAATGACACATAAACCATCTTGGTGCTCATTCACTTTCTGGCGCTCGGCTCTTCTCGACAGTCGTCAGTCTCCCTTCCCGAAGCTAAGTCCTTGGAGCGCATCGGAAATTTTGTCGATGGATCCAGAAGGTGGAGAAGGGCAGTCAGTGTCCTCATATTATTCGGCTTCTTCCCATCTGTCTCCCCAACTCTCCCAAGCTTACATCCACAATAGTGGTTATTAGTGGGGGTGATGCAGCAGTCGAAACCACGTTTGGCACGAGTTTAAAATCACCCTCCCGCTTAGCCTGCGTTTCGTCCCCGCCTTGCTGTGACAGTGGGTCCGGATTCTCCTTGGTTGGGGAAATGTGTAGCTGCTCGGAACTCACCAGTTGTAAAGGCGATGCGGAAGTGAACTATTGTTTTGTGTGTAGGAACGGACGACCATCGTGCACATTGGCCGCCCATTTGCTATGTTGTTCAACGTCACGCGGGTTTGTGCTCGCAAACTCCGGCTCTGTACTTGATAATTCCAGATCGTTGGTTGACCACTGTAGGTGGCGGTGAGGCGATTGCATCGCGGATTGAGGAATCAAATCGAGGTTAGACAAGAGCTCAAAGACGATCTGCCGCTCGTAGAAGGCCAGCATTCCGGCCGTCAATAAGGTGGCTCGGATGAGGCGAACTTGCTCCATTGCTGACCTGGATGTTTCGTCCATTTGCAAATACACCCATTGGAATGCCTATTGTGCCAAAGTCGAATCATTTAATGGCTCAATAAAATCGGTGTCGGAGACGCTTGTGAGTGAGTTCGGCTTGCAGGTCGATTTCTGGCGGGCAACTTATGAGTAGCCCTGAAAATATAACCATACGACTTTCTAAGACCTGTTAATTTAGAATTCCTAAAAATCCTAAAATTTTTTACCTCCGATCCGGGCAATGTGCTGCTCGGCCACCACGGGTGTAGGCGGTTCGAACTACGTGCTTGAATTGCTTGGAAACGAATCCATCTCTCCATCTCGAGCCGTTTGAGGTGTGTGGTCGCCTGGCGCCGCTCTTCGCAGCCTGATCACGCATTTCGTCAAGTTGATGGTAGAATTGGTCGACGCTCAGGTCCAGCATGTACTGAAGCAAAAAGAAACGTATCATTAAAGAGGATTCAAAGCTAATGTTAATTAACCTCGTTGTAAAGACAGTAGCTGAGCAATGGAGGCCAACCTTTTCAACCCCATTTACGCATGATTGTTCAATTTCTAGGAATATGGTCGAAAGTGCGTATCGCTGTCGGCATAGGTCAGAAATTGTGATGATATTCGAACCTCTTGGCTCGGATTAGTCATGCAGTGCGGCCAACAGACCTTTTTGTAGTTGGCGCCACCACGAAATTTTCAATTATCGAAAAATTGTTGCTGAGCGGGCTAGAACTTGGCATTGTTTGCTATGTAACTCCAACGAATTCCGCGCCACTCTAAAAACACTCACATGTTGCCCAGTGCCAGTTCTCCGGATTCATTTGGCGCCAGAGAGCGATTGAAACCGCAGTTGGGGATACATCCGCTTTGGTAAAGGACAAATCGCGGTCATAAACCAAAAATAACGTGCCTGTTTTTGCGATAAACCATCCGAAATGGAATCAATAGGGGCGGCCGACAAACAGATGCTTTAGTCAGCAGGCGCCTGCCGTCGCCGTTCTAGATATGCGCAATTATTTTTTTCAATGTAGGAGGCTTGTTTAGTAGTATCAACAAAAGACACATACTAATGGTAATGAACACGATTTATTCTTTAGCAATGCTTTCTTTTATTAAAATTTTGGAATAAGCTGTTCAATATTCAAAGGCTGACGTTTGTTTTCGATTCAGGAAATCACACATTTGGATTTTGTCGGGAGTTTCAGCTTTCAGCGTCTGATTGACCCTGGCTCTCGGTCTCCGACGCTGCCAAACTTCCTCGTGATTTTCACCGATTCCCAGGGTTTGAAACAAAAACAACTCGGTAACGCCACCACCGGATGTACCAGATGCTGAAGCTGCCTCTGTAGCACCAAAAAATCGAGGCGATGGGATTTGTAAAGAGCCTGGCGAAGATAAGAGCCACCGCGGCGAATTTGTATCAGAGCCGAAAGACCAGGCGGATATTGTGTCGGTGGGGCCGGGGTCGGGGCGAAGGCGAAGACTTCTCGGACGGGGGTTTAGGTTCGGGCCGCTTCGCTAATTTGATATGACGTTCAGCCTACGGCGGTTTGTATAGGTTATATCATCATTGTGGTCGCCGCCCCAGGCCAAAAGAGGCAGGTTTGGCAGCGGGTACGTTCAGGCATAAAACTTTCAGGATTTCTTCTGATTCAGCACTCCATGCCGAATCTCCGCTTAGAGAAAAGCGTAAAAGCCGACTGCTCTATCGCTTCCTGGAATTTGAACTAGCTTTGCTGATGATCGAATAGTTCCACATCAGCGAGTGTATTTGTTGAGATTTTTGTCCGATAAGCCAGATCTGCCCGTTTCCGTTTCGGCTCGGTACCCAGGGCGTACAACGGAATTTGTTGGTGGCTGCGCGTCCTGGTCAAGTTGACGCACGACTTCGAGTAACCCTGAAAAACTATGCAAATGGCGCAACATCAACAAAATCTTATCGCCAAGTCGGGCGATGTGCTGCTCTGCAACCAACCGCAAAGGTTCTGACGACGTGCTTGAATCTGCTCGAAAACAGAACGCATTCTCTGGGATCTCGAGCCGCTTTATCAAAGTGCCGAAATTCTGATGCCGCTCTCTTGCAGCCTCTTTCATCCCTGACCTTGTCGAGTTGGTGAAAAGAACCGGATCAACGCTCAGATCAAGCATGTACTAAATTGACTGGTATGCATGACGTCTGAAATATCGGTTTCCATTCATTTCGCATAATTTTCATTTTCGGAATACTACCATTTCGCAAAATGGCATTTCGAATAATTTTAATTCGCATAAGGCTTATTTCGTATAACGCCTATTTGCATAACGGTGATTTCGCTCTAACCGGGATTTCGCATAACGATCATTAGCATACTTTTCATTTCACCTAACGACCATTTCGGCATAATTTTGATTTCGCCTAACCATTATTTCGCATAATTTCCGCTATTGGCAGCCGATGGGGTGAGATGGATAACTTTAGCTAGTGATCAGCAATCGATGAAAACAATCTACCTGCGCGGCTTTTTTGCGCCCTTCCTTGCAGACATACCAAGCTTGCTCAAACCCCACGACACATGAGGCATGCGCCTCCCAGGGTTTTACCAAACTTACGCCAGAAGCTTAAAAATCAATGTAAATCCATAAATCTGACCAGTCTAGGGCCAAAACATTATACGATGCAGTAGCGGAATCTGCGTAAAAGGTAACGGGGTTATTTGGATTGTCTTATATCAAGATTGCACTTCATGTCGTCAAAAACGCCCTGTTTTGCTCTTGGTTGGTACTACTAAAAATATGCGAAATAAAGTTATGCGAGATCATCGTTAGGTGAAATAAAAACAAAAACAAGATCGTTATGCGAAATGACGGTTAGGCGAAATAACCGCTATGCGAAATGATCGTTAGCGAAAACAGCGTTATGCGAAATAGCGTTATGAAAATGGTAATTATGCAAGATAAAGAAAATACCGGAAATATCGATCCCACCTTTTCAATTCCATTTACACAATGATTACATTCTGGCACTATTGGTCGGAAGAGATAGCGTTGACGACAGAGGTCCGAAATCGTGTAAAAGTATGTGCTGCTTAGCTCTCGAATTGATCGTGTAAATGCGGCCAGCTGGTCATCAGGTTGGGGGGCCAGCACCAGCTTTCAATTATTCGAAAAATCGTTGTTCAAGCGGGCTTAATGTCGTTCTCGAGGATATGTGCTTGCTCTAACTCTAATCACGGTCCAAAGGGTTAAATTTGAACTCACACGTTGCCCAAGTACCAATTTTCTGGATTCATCATTGTTATAGCACGCCGTAAATAAAATTCAATGAGATTTGCCAGGCCGAGGGAGGTTAACAAACCACTCAGGCCGCACTGGCTATGATAAGCCATCGGACAGCGGTTTACGCTGCAATTTTCCCACCGGTTCGGGACCCCTTTCTTGCAACCATAACTTAGTAGCATCCATATATAGTATTATAGTCGCGACGAAGGCCATTTTTACTTTGGTATGCATCTTGTTTCTTCTTGCTTTCATCAGCGATAGAGTTCGAAAATTAGGTATTATACTTAGAAATTACACATTTAGATTTGCCTCGGATTTTGGCGCTTCTTCGATTGACCTGCCGTTTCGGGGGAGACGCAGCCAAATTGCATCTTGATTTTCACTAAAACCTGCGGTTGGAACAATTCGTCAACGTCATCATTTGGTGCACACAGCCTTGAAGTCGACGCTGCAGTCTGGGGCTCGCTACAAGCGGCGATCAAGGACTCGATGGAGTCGTCTGGAGGATTTGCGCCATATGCGCGGCTATCAGGGATGAAGGCCACCAGCGGGAACTCCGAAGGCTGGTCGGATACGGTAGGTGAAACGGTCCCAGCTGAAAGGAATCACAGCCATGGTTTGCCTCGTTCCATCGTCCCTGGCCACGATATCAAGCCGGGGGAATTGACTGACTAGGATCGCGAGTAGCAATCTGTAACTTTGTCGTCATACGCTTCAGAAAATAATTCCGGTTCCGAAAGCCCCTTTGACGCCCTCAAAGCACCAGTAAGAGTTTTCTCGGGGGTCTGGCTGCTCACCGACATCCTCTATATCACCCTCGTATTCTTTAAACGAAACGCTGGTGCCCCGCACGAGGCCAGGAGCGTTTTTTCGACTTTGACTTTTGGTCTTGTTTGCCACATCGAAAACCGGCCGCCGTCTGGGCCTTTCCCTGAATCAATCGATGCTAAAGCACCATCTTTCCTGGGAGAAGTTTCATATCGAGGGCGGCCTGTTCTCCCCAAGTATTAGATGGTCTGTTTGGCTCGAGCTGGGCGGGACCGCCTCGGAGTTATCTGGACTCAAGTGCATCAGTTAACAGGTTAGAAGCTTTGTTAATAATCCTCTGAACTTTTGAAGCCAATTGTTATGGCAGACGCACAGAAATGCCCAAGAAAAGGGGGACAATCATTAATTCTAAACTCATTACTTCTCTAAACCGACCAATTTAAAATGTTATTTCTAAAAATCATTCACTGGAGTAATAAAATGATCACTTTCTGGGACTATTATTTAAAATCAAGTTTATTTTCAGTGAAAATCATTACTTCTAAAAGGGAATCACAATTAAAAAGGTTTTGGTGTCGATTTGTGCATAAACATTGCACATGTTGTCGAAAAATTGATAATTTAGGGTGCCGTAAGGACTTTAGAAGTAACGCTCTAGAAGTAATGATTTTTAGAAGTACGACTTTTAGGAAGTACGATTTTAGACGTAATGGCTTCTGAATTAATGATTAGTCATTTAACAGTGAATGAGCTGAGTAGCATTAATTTTAGCGGAGTAACGGTTTAGCAATGGTTTTGAGCGATCCTTTGAAGTAATGCTTTTAGAAGTTAGTTAGTCGATTGAATTTGGCCTGATTGAAGTGGACGATTTGCATGGCAATTCCCGAGTAGTTTGCAAGTCTTAAAGGGGGTGTAAAAGGTTGCAACTGACGGCAATATAATTTTGATGTTTGGTGTTTGGCTTCGGCTAAACAGTAAAATGCGTCTCTCCAAGGGCTACCAGATGACAATGGCTAGCCAGACAGGAAAATACTCGCTGCGCGAAGGTTCGTTCTCCGAACGGCTCTAGCTTTTTGATACGCACTGTATAAAGCCTCCCACAAAAAGGTTCAATTTTCGGGCCGCGACTCAATTTTTGCACTTCGGTGACAGCACATATCAAGCCTAAATAGAAACGCCACCTCCAGCGGTCCAGTTCCGGTCTTTCGCCGATTGTGCTTCACTCCGCAATGGTACAGCGATTAGCAGCCCATAAATGGTCAGTTGGCGACGACACAGGTATCCTAAACACTTGAAATTCATGGTTTGGACTTTTGGCTAGAAAGCTGTGATGGTGCAAGTCTCGGAAGAAACGCCTAAATCATTCAAATTCGACAGCCCACAACTAGATTTTAAGCGCCATTTATGGGTAAAACGACCGGAAATATCACATTTTTTGCGGTTGGTTTGGCCTGTCGGGAATTTTGCAGAAATTTGAACTTCACCTCAACGCGCAATTTCCTGCGTAATAAATGAAGGCTGTCATCCACTTTTCCTGACCGGGTGCTTGGGTTGATCGGTGGAATTTATTCTCATCTCGTATGGTAACATATCACCGCTTCGCGCCGCTCTCTGCGAGCATATTTTACTTCGTCAGGTTGTCGATAAATGGTCCGCATCCAGGTCCCACCATGCTATAATCAGCGTCGATATAAATTAATAAAGTATGACTTTAAGGAGTAAGGTTTAAGAGTCTAAATTTTATCACGTCGTACCGACACGTGGGTAAAGAATTTTAGAATCTCAGAATTGTCATATTATGAATCAACAATAAAATGAAGGAATCTTGCCTACCCCTGCATCCAGCCCCATAGCAATTTCGGTTACTTAGAATTCAAAAATTCCAGAGATCAACACAGGCATTTGGAATGCTAGATTCTGAAAATTCAAAATTCTGAAAGTCAGATTCGGTACAAGGTTCAGAACGCGATTCGGTGCCGAGATTCTGATAGATTCCGATAAAACAACCTTTTCAATCCCATATACGCACGATTGCTGAATCTCAAGGTTCTCGTCCCAGGCGGATAGCGTTGATGACATAGGTCAGTAATCGTGTAAATACTACGTCCCTTGGCCGGATTCGATCATGACGCGGCAGCGCATCGACGGTGTGGGCCAATGCAAACTTTCGATCGAAAAATCGTTGGTGAGCGGTCTGGAGCGCACTAAGCTTTGCAAACATTTCCAAATTATTAAAATCGCAAAGCAAACAGCACGTTGCCAACGACCAGTTGTGGAACAATTCGCCGCTAGAAACCCGTATTTGGAGTGCAACCGCTTTTGCTAGGCTAGGACGAACCCTGGCCACAAACCTCCCGTGTCACAGCCTTTTTTGCGATAAGCCACCTGAAATGGAATCAACAGCAGGCGGCAACCAGTCTTTTTGGACAGCGAGCAGAGCTTTTTCGGAATGCCGATTGTTTTTTTCTAGCAAGATCAATAATCTGCCCAGATAAATACTTTATTGTATATATATTGTACTACAACATTTGTGCGGACCACACGGTGCGGGCTTAGAAATTGGCCAGCAGGCTTTCGCTTTGTTTCTGCGAAGCCCCTCTTGGCCTCTAGCTCCTTTTGTTGGCGCTTCCAAGCAGCATCTCGACTTTCTGTTACGCCCATAGTTTGGAACAATTCGGCGATATCGTCCAGTGGCTTCTGAGGCTTTGAAGATGAAGCCGGGATTGCCAGAGTCCGGATACGATTCTTTGAAGCTGACGGCGAGGTTGGTTGGGGGCTTTCAGGATTCGAAGGAGTGCCCGCATCGATGGTAGGGTCTTGCTCAGCGCCGGAATTGTTCGGGGTTGGTTCAGGGACTAGATTCTGGAGTTGAACCGGAGCATCTGTGTCGTTTTCTTGAGGCGCTTGAGCACCAGGTGGAAGCACAAAGCGCCTACGAATCGTGCGGGCGACGGCCGGCCGCAGGTGGGAGATTTTGTTGGTTTAGTCCAGGCACTGGCGCTAGCGGCCCGGCGTCCATCTGTCCGATGAAGCCCTGAAAGGCTCATGTTGGCTAACTTTTGCATGTAAAATTGTTTTTTGTCAAATGGCTGTTTTTGTCAAATGTCAAAAACTACCCACCTCCAACTGCGCGACCCGGTTCGCATCCAAATGCGGCTGGCTTTCCTGCAGCAACGCCTTGAAATGGTTGAGCAGAGTAAGTTTTTGTCTCTCGGCCCATTCAACCCGCTGGTGCGCCGCCTCCAAATGCTGTCGGATTTCGCGGAAACTCAGGTCGACCACCACCTAAAAATAAAGATTTTCTTTTGACAACAACTGCTTATCTATTCTCGGAAATAGGATAACGGGGGATATTTTCGGTGTTTTGAAAGCGCCATTCCATATAGGGCCGAAAAATATACTACAGGTTTTTTATAGCCCGTAAAAACCGTATTTTAAAACATTTCTATCAAAACCTGCTGCGGTTCCTCGGTCGTCATTCCGCGCCACATCAAGGGATGATGGCCGCAAACTCGCGCTCGGCGAACACATCCCGAAACGTGAGCACTGGCAGGTTGTTGGCGAGGACTTGGCGCCGAAAATTTTCCGCGGCTTCCGGTGTCGTTGGGGGCAATACATGGCTGACTTCGATTAGATAGTCTGGGTGTGTTGGACTGAAAAGTAGAGACAACTAACTTAAGAGGCGTTAGCAAAGAAGAATTAACTCTAATAGGTATAGACGGTTAGGACGTGCGTGAAAGTTACTAATAAGTCTTTTTAGAGCGTTTGTAGTAAAGCATAATTATCGACAAAACCTAGAAAACCAAAAATAGGGAAAACTTACAGTTTACCAAGATCCATAAGTATGGCTTCGTAAAGTAGGTGCCAATTTTTTTTGTGAAGTACACGGGAATTTGTCTACGACTAATTTCAGATAACGGCTTCCTGATAAGAGCGTGTTCTTTGAATCAATAGATGTGTGCGACGAATCTTTGAGTATCTCGACCTCTGCTTTTTGTGCCTCCAGGTTCTCAGGAACCGCATAAACATTGTGTTTATCAAGACTTCCACAAAGTGGTTGCATCGATGATTGCCGTGATAAATTCCGCTCACATTATCTCCCAGGAAACGTATATGCTAAAATCCGATGAGTCTGTTTTGAACTCCTTGCATGATGAAGTCATTTGGAAAGTTCCTTCTTGAGATTTTTCCATCAGGGCCAAACCATTTGATGAGAGAAGGGCAGTTACTTCTGAAAATGAACGTCTTGCTCTCTATCTCT